AAAGGCAGTACGTACAAACCAGATCTGATATGCGTCAGATCCAACATCATGACTGTCGCATGGCAATCAAGAATGCGATGCACCCAAGATCTGAATTCCTCGAGCTGGAATCCCACAATCCGATCGACGAGGAGCATTGCATTTGCCATACAACAACTCAACAACTTCCCTTCCGGAACAGGACTAGTCTCTCCAGCTCGGTATTGTGGCTGTTGAGGGGCTAGACGTATTACCTAAGTTGCGTATTGCCTGAGGGCTCCATGTCAATGGCCCAATCCAATATCCATGATCCATGTCTATGATCCAAGGCCTGGATGGTTTCATCCAACAATCCAATGATACGCTGGATTCTTGGGTACCCCACACAGCTGTCCATACCGCTGGATCATGCACGTAAAGCTCCTAATGACAAGATGAGCGTAACCTGGGAGGGGACACCTTGGGATGAATACGAAAAAAAAAAGAAGGGGGGGGGGATAGCGAAGCGAGATATCGAAAACGGAGAGCTGTTCTCCGTCAGGAGGTGTACGTACGGACACAAGTACGCGCACGGGTGTACACCGCACCAACGTTTTCTCGTACGACGAGAACACCACAAGCTGCCAAGACCAGGAGATACAAATGCCAAGCCATGGCAATTCTCGCGCGCAATCTTCAGCCAAAAGTCAAAGTCCACATGGTACTATGTCAGTACCCCTCAGTAGACTTCACTAAACTTTCTCTAGTCAGGTTAACCGACACAAGCACTCCCCTGGACCCCGACCCTGCTCCATTCCATGTCAATTCACTCAGTTGGGCCCTAGGCAAAGAGTCAAAAGCCGAAAGCCAAAACTTAACTCTGTCTGACAAGTTGAACCAACACAAACAGAGTTAAGGGTAGATCTCGGACCTTTTCTTTTTCTCCTTTTTTTTTTTGCTTTCTTACGTCTGACTGCAGATAGGCTGAGTCACGAGATTTGATTTGTTGGGTTTGCTGCTTGCATGATTACTTTACAAACGCTCTGGTTTGGTAATTTATGTACGTACGGATACAGTCCGGACAATGCCGTTGGTAAACGGCCGCGTATTTAGTTAGCCGCTGAAACATGGCGCGGATTTGTTCCGACCCTTCATCATTTCTCTACGTAGTGCATTGTACGAAGTACCGATTCCGGATTCCCCATGTCCCATTCTTAGAAACATAGATAATTTCTGCCCCCGAAACATAGTTCGATATCTCTGAGCTGTGCACTTAGCATGCGTACTAGTAAGTACTAATAGCGACAGCTACTAGTATGTCCTGCAGCTGTGACTCAATTTTAGCTATTTCCGGGGGTCAATACTGTTACCGAGTTGTGGGTCAACCTTAACTCTCCTTGTCTGACTCTGAACTCTGACTCAACTTCGACTGTAAAGATTATCGGACAGTGGACTGGTCTCCGTAAATGGTCATAAAATGAAATATCCTGACTGGTCAATTGGTTTGCGTAATTTGTAGATGTAATAGTAATACTACCACTACTACAGTAATATGTGACAGCCTACGGATGCATGCAAGCACACCGCGGCAACTCGTACCAGACTTCGAAAGTACGGTTACCAAGGTTTTTGCTTTTGTGTGATGGGAGGACGGATCCACCCACGCCAGTCTCCCGGCGGCCTCTTCCTCGGGACTGGACTAGGCTGTTTTGATGTGGACTGCATTTTTTTGAGTTGCGTATGAAGCCGATAGTAGTATGATAGACGAAGCTTAACTGTGCAAAAAATCGCTTCGTAGTATTATATACTCCGTGCATCTGCATCTCTGTACGTAGATATGCAGATACCTTCCGACTCCTGAACGTCTCCACGTACTGTACAAGACTCTGTACGGATGTCGTACGAGACTAGCCTACGGTGACGCTCTCTTGGGACCAAATAATAGCCTCTCATTGGCCACAGCTGCCACTGCCGGGTAGCTTTCTCCAATCACACATGCAGATCGGCTATAGCTTTCTCTCCAGGGCCTCCACTTTTGCCCGATCGTGGAACGAGTCGACATCGTCTCGTATACCCAAAGAGAGACAAAAAGTGGCTCSGAGGCATTGCACTAAGCCCGACTCAGTATAGTGCATATTTCTTTTACAGCTCCCGTCTCTAATTCGCCCCATACTTGGCTATGGGGTACGTCTCTCGCGACTTGTTACCCACGTAAGTAACTGAGCTAGCTGGCTGACTGGAAGCAGTGGCTGGTGGCTTTTGATTGCGCTATGACAAGCGACTAGCGCAAATGCGTCTGTCTACATCTGCACTCGACTGGCACTTTCACTTGCACCTGCGGTTGGTCAATAGGCGAGTCTCGTCATCAAGGCAGTCAGTATGGTACGCAGAAAGCCTGAACTCGAAAAGTCGCAAGTGTCGTGATCCGGTGCTTGGCCCGCTGCACAGCTCCCATGCTAAGCCACATATAGAGTAGTGCGACTGACTGCACTAGTCACCAAGCTAGAGGGGGCCGGCCCTGTCGTATTAGTGGGCCTAGATAATCTCAATTTCCACTTGCTAGTTCATTCTAAAATTGCCGTGCACTGGGCACTGTTTGCAGCCACCACCACTTATCGCAATTCGCGGCCGTCTTCACTCTTCAGCTTCACGATCATCCAAACAGGTTGCCATGCGACAAAATTTCTGCTTAGCGCGCGACCGATATCGCGAATAATGGATCCTGCACTGCTCGGATACAAACCGCTCAGCCTCAGCCTATCCGAAGTTGAAACTCGAAGGTACACACTGACAACAAAGTGATTTGACAAAGGAGGAGCACAACGACCATGCGCATGGGTAGCGGGTCTCGCCTCTGTGGCCACTGGCGGGCCACGAAGGAGGAGAAGAAATAACCGGCGGCGGCTCACGTATCCCCTCCAGCATTGATCATTTCTCCCGAATCACCTCCTCAATTTTCGTCGATAGCATTATTGCGTCGGGTTTTCCGACATTTTGGCTTTTGTACGTCGTAGTCATAGCACGGTTATGTAAAGCAAGGTCGATATCGGATAGATGGTGCTGCATTATCTTTACTTTGTCGAGCTTGTCGAGGATAGTCCTCAGTCGTTAGTATAGTGGCAAATTATCGTAGAAGCACACTGCATAAGAAGAGACGAGATAAGTCAACTTGCTTGCGTGCAATGCAGATGGTGGGCAGAGACGAGTGGAACCAGACAAATGCGATAGAGTCAAGTCGGCTACGGCTCCGTCGTCGGATACGATCCGTGTTTTCTTTCCCCCTTCATTTCTGCCTGTCACGCGAAACGATCTAACTGGGAATTTGTGGTTGGTCTGATCGAATCATCATTCATCGTCATTGTCACGGACTTCTTGTCAGCGCTCCAGACTAAGTCGACTGGGTTAGGTTTGCTTGTCATGGGGGATTGATCATTAGGGTGTTCCAAAATACACGCGGTAGATGGGGCAGGATCACAGTCCGGAGTCCAGTCCCATGTACCCAAAGGCCCCAAGCACCCAAGGACCCAGTCGGTTTTCCTCAGCAGTAAAGAAACCCCCAATCCGAGTCCCAGTGGCGCATCGTCTAGTGGCTATCCGTGGGACCACCACTTGTCCAGTCTAAGATGAGACTAAGGATGGTGTCGATATGGGAGTTTTTAGCCTGGCAGTTGCTGTTGAATTGTTCATGTTTTCGACAAGGTGTCGACAGGAGTGTAGTTCTTCGTAGAGACCATTGCAGTGTGTCGTAATTTGTCGTTCTCGTCGTCTCACGCGCAAGGAGGAGACTGTGAAAAGGAAAGGATTGATAGATGGAGAAGCAGAGAATCCGAGCTCCTTTCCTCTTTCCTATTCCCACATCCACTGTTCCACTCCCGCCCAGTCGCTCTTTCCTTCTCAGCGCTCAGTGTCGTAAGGTTCTTTCCCCCAATCCGGCCCGTGCTTGTCTTGTCGATCCAAACAAGCAGCCTTTGGGCAAGTGGGAAAGTGGGCAAGAGCGAACGAAGTGGGCACCTGGCACCTGCCCTGTTGGCTGTTGCTAACAGCACCCTACGTACTGCCAGCGTACCAGCGTACCAGCGTACCAGCGTACCAGCGTACCAGCGTACCAGCGTACCAGCGTACCACTAGGTAGCTGCCTCCTCCTGCCTGCCCCGTCCACTTTCCAACTCCATCGCTCCTGCCTGCGTCTACCTGCGCCTGCGCCTGCGCCTGCCTGGCTTGTACTTCCTGCCTTTGACCAGCGACTGCACTATTCCTAATCAACCCAAGTCGCTCCCAAACCACGTTACGGGGCTCTTCATCTTACTTTAAAATCCTTAAGTAATCACCATCTGGCACTATCCTTGTCACTAAATTGTTTTACATCTCTCCTCACCTGCCAGCCTACGTCTCCTCCATACCAAGTCATTCCCATACTGGGTCCCAACTCCCTCCGGTCTGTGTTATCCATGGATTCGGTCCTCTTACCGGGGTACAAGAGCGCGACTTTTTCCATCCTGCTCCTCCAGTAATCAAGACAATCGTCCGCGCGATTACCGCCCGGTCCGCTGGGTCTACTCCTCGTCTCTGTTTTCCTTTTGGCTAGAACGTGACCTCACGCGCACTTACCTCCTTCATATACTTTCCTCCCCTGCGATCGCGTTCCCTCCTTTGTCTGTCTTTTTCGATTGTATCTGTCATCATAACGCCCCGTCGAAAAGCTTGACTGTATCACCTTCCCACTACGGAAATACCGACATCAAACTCTTTCGAGCACGTCAGGAGTTGCACCGTTGGGCATCAAATAGCGTGGAAATTGAGAGGCAATTATTATTGCTTACCGCACTCCTCAATCAACGCAAACTACGACGTTGCTAGTCATATGTCGTGAGGACTAGTGGTTGTTGACGATTCACTAATCGCAATAAAGGTTCTACGGCCAACGTGTGACCTTTGAACAGTACCGCGTCTGCTATTCAAGGTGGCTTTTGTCTTTTCTGTTTTGTTGTCTTTTTCTCAGTTCTGTCTACTTCCAAATCAGTCTCATCTCAAAGCCGTTGAACATGGCTGGCGGCACAGCAGTGCTGGAGCCGACCTACCATGGGTATGTGGCTACGACGCAAGATGCGCTGATTTTATTTGAGGCTTGTTTGACTGGTGTGTTGCCTCACGTGCCGCGACGACCGCACGATCGGGAACGCAACCATCTCGTTCGCAGTGGTAGTGTGTTTATTTATGAGGAAAACACATCTGGAATCAAACGATGGACAGACGGCGTGACATGGAGCCCAAGTCGAATTCTCGGCAACTTCTTGGTTTATCGTGAACTCGACAAACCATTTCCCCCAGGCGAGAAGAAACGTGCAATGAAGAAAGGAAACAGACGCCCAGTTCAGGCGTCGCGCCCTGGAGAACCTTATCCGCGGTCAGATAGTAATGGTCAGTCTTATTCACCCACGACACCAGGGTCAAATTTCGGTGGAGATCGCCCTCAGCAATCCGACGTTGAGCGAGCGTTGGTTGGCTCGCTTGTGGATTCCTACGGTTTCAAGGATTCGGGGCTTGTAAAGAAGACTATGAGTGTTACAGTGGCCGGAATAACCCATCATTTGGTGTCTTATTACAGTGTGGAAGATGTGATGAAGGGCATTTTGAGCCCACCATCTATGCACGACGAATTGCGCTATATCAGGCCCCGCGCCGAGCTGATCTCAAAGCAGAGTTTTCGCGCTCCAATCGATGATGTTGACACAGGACTGGAAAATACGAACGATCCTTCGCAGGCCATGTATGGATATAGGACCGCTATGATGCCCACGCCAAGCTATGGAATGCAAAATACACATTCTTATGACTATATGCACAGCTCGCCATATGGATCGCATCCGACTCAACCCGCCCCAATTTCGTCATACGCCAGTGGACCGCTTCCTGCTCAATCCGCATCGAATCCGTATCTACCTACCCCTTCTAGCGTGTCGCAGCTATCCGTCAAGCAAGAGCCCGATCAAGGCTCATACCGTGCAGGATCCTATGGTGCCACATTTGATACGATGGGTCAGAACCACCTGCCCACAACTCTACCTCCTGCCATGAATGCATCTGGCATGCCCAATGCTTTGGACCGCCACCGCCATCAGCAATCCAGCAGCCCGGGAATCTACCGAAATACTTCAATGTCTGCTCGTGGAATCAGCACGGATGTGGCATCACCAACCGAACCGCATACATCTACTACCCCATATTCTCGAAATAGCTTCGGCATGCCACCACAGATGGACGCCAGCAATCACCAGTCATTCGAGCATCGTAACGTCACGGTTGCGTCTTTTGATCCTACGATCCCACGCCGGGAGCCAAATAACATTCCGTCATTCTACACCGGCGCTGCTGATCGACAGAACTACTATACTGGGGTGGCTCACTCGAATTATCCAACCGCGCAACCCATTTCTGCCTGGACTACGACGGCACCAACCCACCCTCAAATGTGATATGATGAAACTTTTCTCCCTCTTTTTGTCTTGTTGTAACGGCCTATCGAAAATCGATTAGTGAATAATTGGCAGGATCAAACAGGATATATACCCTTCTTTTGTTCGAGTGTTTTGCTTTTTGCGTGTGTCTGTCTTTTTTCAGCATAACTATTTCTTCATCTGTGGGTGTTCGGGTGTGGTGTGTGATTTTACGTATGGGACGGGTGGTTGGCTTCTCAACAAGCGTCAGGGGAGATTTATCTAAGGTGTTGGCTTTGGTCACAGCAGCAATTTTTCATTTTCTCATCCTCGATTTGCATTCTTGACGTGTTTACGAACCATTATTCGGTCGAAATGAAAGGGTTAGGTTGGGCGGCTTTCTGAATTTATTATACGCACTGTTTATTCGCAATCTGTTCCAAGTCATCCATTCTGCTTCTTATATCTAATATCTGCCTATTCGCTTGATTCAAAGACCATTGAGCGGGTCTTCTTCCGTTCCTTTATCTTTTCGTCTTTTCAAGAGACGATTGCAGAGGATGGCTGCGATAGTCCTACTACAGAGTACGCTTCCATCCTTATGTATCCTTCTCGATATTCAGGTGTCTCATCAATATTAGAAACAACATTATTGCCTCGATAGAGAACTTATCCCTTCTCATTTTGATCTTTCCCGTCCGTGAATCAAACCTTGAACAGCGTAGAGTCACTATCTAAAGTCTGAAGATATGATGCATATGTACTTATCGATAAGGACCGATAAAACTCACGTGGTGATAAGATTAGCCTTCTTATCAACGAATTCGAAAAAGGAAGCTCCAACGTTCCTAGTTTGTAATGGTTTTGACATCCCTGCAGGTTTCGCTACTTCATCGATTACTTGCGCCGAATCGATTTTTGCGCATGCGAAGATTTCTCTCTCTGTGTGAGCCATGGGTTCATCCCTTTGGTCGTAGTAGCAGAGGAGCCAGGAGTAGATGCTCCAGGCAGTACGACTGCTACAGGGTGTCTCCGCATTACTATCATGTCATCCGAACAGCACCTCAACAGCATTTTCAAAGATGTCACTTTTCGTGTCGAGGGAAAAGTCAAAGAGCTTCTACTATAATCGATGAATTGTCACTATCATCGCCGTCGGTTGCATTGGGTGCAGATTCTACGATATATGCGCTCTCCACAGCTCCCGGTAGAGCTGCTATAGCTATTATTAGGATTTCTGGACCGGCATGTCTACAGGTATTTCCCTCTTTCTGAACTCAGGGGAAAAAAAAGAAAAGCGAAGCAGGCACTGATGATATCGTTGGTAGATTTATCGAGCACTATGTCCTCGAGCGCGAGACCCCAAGCATCGCATGGCGACCTTACGGGCATTGTACGATCCAATGCAGGCTCCATCGCCGAATACACTCCTTGACCCTGGCGCCCTGGTACTATACTTTCCCAGTCCACGAACAGTGACAGGCGAAGACATCCTTGAGCTGCACGTGCATGGTGGTCCGGCAACAGTCAAAGCCGTGCTGGGTGCGATTGAGAAGTGTAACGACATTATACAGCCCGAAGAAGATCACCGTTCCTCCTCGCCGTCATCTCTGATACGATATGCCGAACCCGGAGAGTTCACGCGACGCGCTTTCATGAATGATGTTCTAGATCTACCACAAATTGAGGCACTAGGCGAAACCCTCAATGCAGAAACCGAACAGCAGAGACGTCTAGCTGTCCGTGGCGCAAATAACACTCTTTCTGCGCGCTATGAGGATTGGCGCCAACAATTGTTGTATGCAAGAGGAGAGTTGGAAGCGTTGATAGACTTTTCGGAGGATCAGCATTTTGACGAGTCTCCGCAAGAATTAATCGGCTCGGTTTCGGCGCAGGTGGACATACTTGGGCAACAAATTAGATTTCACATTCAGAATGCGTCAAAGGGCGAGTTGTTGCGGAATGGAATCAAGATTGCATTGTTGGGCGCGCCGAATGCCGGGAAGAGTTCTTTATTGAATCGTGTCGTCGGCAAAGAGGCGGCTATCGTCAGCACGGAAGAAGGGACGACACGAGATATTGTGGATGTTGGTATTGACCTTGGCGGATGGTACTGCAAGATTGGTGATATGGCCGGACTGCGGTCCTCCAAAAATACTGCGGAGAGAATTGGGGCTGTCGAGTTGGAAGGCATCCGTCGCGCAAAGCAACGTGCGTTGGAATCTGATGTCGTTGTGGTAGTTTTGAGCGTTCAAAAGGGTGAAGACAAGACATCGTCACAGCTAATAGTCGACCCCGAGGTCCTTGAGGCTGTGCATGCATGTCAGGAGCATGGGAAGAGTATAGTGGTTGCCATTAACAAATCTGACCGGTTGCCACGGTCTACCAATGCGCGGGACGCAGCGGCGGACAGCTTGGTCCAACAGGTCCAAGCTCTGTTCAAAAACGTTCCCAGTAGTCAGGTCTTTTCAATCTCTTGCCGAGAAGCCGAACAGAGCGCCGGTCTAGGATCGAATACAGCAGACCCTGGCAATATACAAACGTTCCTACGCGGGTTGATATCCGTTTTTGAGGAGATAGCGACACCAGAAGGTATGGGAGGAAACGATATGCATGATATTTCATACTGGGAAGACTCGCTAGGAGTCACACATCGACAACAATCCAATCTAAAACAATGTCTGGAACATTTGGAGAGATTTCTCAATGAAACAAAAACGAGCGACCTGAGACATCAGCAACAAAAAGCACCAATCAATAATAGTACAACCCAATCCGTCTATAACAACACCAGCGCTGATGCCAATTCCAAAGCCAAAGTCTATACTGATACCCAATTTCACGCCCATGCTGACGCTGGTCAAATCCAAGCACAAACGCCGTGTGATGCCATCTATACCAATAACCTAGAGGAAAAATACAGTGATAACGAGAATAGAAAAGTCGATGATAATTATACAGTCACGTTTGACGCAGAGCCTGAGGTGGACATCGTCACAGCCGCGGAGAATTTGCGATTTGCAGCCGAAAGTCTAGCCCAGATTACTGGGCGAGGGGGGGCGGATGTCGAGGATGTTTTGGGTGTGGTTTTTGAGAAGTATGCTCCTCTGTTTTTTGCGTAATTGAACCACAAGCTGAACATCCTAATAGATTCTGCGTCGGAAAATGAAGAGGCCAAATCGAATAATAAAATTGCCAAAAACTAGAAACACACGTTTCCTCGTTATGTCTTGTCGTGAATCATTTTCGTGGCTGTTGAATCAGACTATTCGTCTTGTCGCTGGTCTTCTTCCGGGCCATTATATCCTCCTTGGCTTTGGAGTGTGAATCGATAGCCAGATGATGGCGGAGTTGGCGGGTTGCTGCTGCTGGGGACGTTGTAACCTCCTCGACCCATTGTGATGATGATTGATGGTTGATGGTAGGGGTGATAAGGTGTTGACTCGAAGATTGATGTTGTCGGTCTGATCCTTGACTATATAGTCGAGTTTAAGTAGGCAAATGTATGATACGGTCGTGAGCAGAGTATAAAGCAAAGTCGTAAAGAGTCTCTGATTAGGAATATAACTCTTGAAAGATGTTGTAGTGTTGTGTGAAGAAAGAAAGTTTGAATGAACATTCGAACATGAAACCGGGGACAAAGCACCCAGACCATATTTATATATCAATTGACCTTCATATCAAACCCATCAACACAGACCAGACCCATCTGGGCTATGAACATACAATATCAAGCCACAAACGGAGATGACCAAAAAAAAGCCACGCAGCCAACCAGCCGTTGAGGATCCGGTTTCGTGTCCTATGACTCAAAGAACACACTGCATAGCCCTTCCTTAGTTATTATTTGTTTTACATACATTTTAAAAAAAAGCCCCCGAGACATGATGGGTTAGGCTAGAAGGGATCGTTTCGTCTTTGTCTTGAGAAGAGCCTGGTTGCCTGGCTTGCCCTGTTTTTTTGCCTGCCTACAAATTACAGCTATGTATGTACGTATGTAAGTCATGCTATATTTACGTATTGTTACCCACTTGTTCCGTCAGACCTGAAGAATTGCGGATCGGAGGTTCCCGTTGATCAAACTGTCGCCCTGCATGAGCGGTGCTAAGTGCTTATTCTATTCTATTTTTTTCTTGGGTTTGTGTCAGTGGAGATGGTCGATATACTTAGTACTTGAAGCTGAAGTAGATAGTGGGTCCTGGCGGGTTGTATTGTAATTACGGTGTATAGTGTATTTGTCAACATATTGGCGCCATGGACTCGATGAGATGGTTATTGGTCTATGATATTAGTTGCACCGTCTCTGATTTTCCCTTGCCCGTGCGAAAATAGCTCAGACACTACGTTCGAATTCAGGGAAGATATGACTATCATCACTAGTCGCACAGAAGAGGAAAGCTATGCGGACAAATCTCAAGCAAGCAAGTGCTCTGGCAACATTGTACCCAAATACGACCATTGTATACATATCAATCTCGATCAGTCGAATAGGCATGGAAACGCTCTTATTCATCAATACCTTAAGCCACAATAACTTTCCTAAATAGTAAGTTGACCATCATCCACGATTAGTCACTCCCCCCTCTCTCAGCCACGATGTGAACGCTGAATCCACAGTACCGGAACCAGATAAAGTACTCCGGGAGTCCGTATGGAGTACGTAAAACTCAAAAAGCACGTTTTCTTTAACGGCTCAAGAGCAAAAAAAAAATCCCTGACCAAACACGAGCCAAGGAGTCAGTGTTCGAGATAGTGTAGCCAATCAACATCCATGACTGTCTTGTATATTGAGATGATGACAACAAGTACGTAGAATAGGGAGTTCAGAGGGGTCTGGGTGGTCCCACAGAGCTGGAAACGGCGGGAGTACCCTTGTCGATATTATTAGACTTGGCTTAGCACTAACAATATCCACGGTATGGACAATGACACCTGAACACCTAGGTAGACAAGGTTGGCCGGCTCAGCCGGATTGTGGATTTGAAAGCAAGAGTCACGTTACATCATGGAGATCTCTTTTCGCTGAGTAATTTTATAATATGTAATACACATCTCAAGTCAGGTGTCAAATGTATTTCGGCACGCGTATCCGCAGTCTGCATCCCATCACCTCCGCATCGGTATCCCGAAATGGACCCTTGTAAAATATGATGTACCCAGGTACCCAATGATATCCAGGAGAATGACTTTAATCTCGGCGATGAACTCAAAATAAAATACGCACCTGGATCAGCACAACTCCTCCGAGATTCTCGATGACGATGAATGGTTACACATGAAAATCAACAGTCGTCACCGAATTTCCAAAGTCGCCGTCCAATATGAGCGCGCCCATTATAGAGAACTCGATTCGATTCGAATCAGGAAATGAAGCTGTACTACAAGTGTTTATTAGTGGCACAGCCTCGACGCCAATGAGCGCGTATCGATTGGTTTGTCACTGACACTATGCAATCAGTAATCCGATCTAAATCCAAAACTTACTCCGCGATTTGTCTCTGGAGTCGAACTATTTCGGGGCGAAATCTGGCGCCGGCTGGGCGCAATGATGTTGTTCGTATTGACGTATTTATACGTACATGTACGTACAAACGCAGGACGTACCGAAAGATTCCGTAAAGGGAAATGTTCTAGAAGGGCTTCTCCTTTCCTCGAGGGAACAGGAATCAGACGTATTTACCAGCTACACCGAGAGATTACTCATCTGCGAATACGTGCTTAGTGATTCGTTCATTTCTTGTGTTCGCGACATACCTAGAATAGAAAATGAAGAATTACATAGCCACAAGACAGATACGAGACCAAAGCTATTCTCGAACATTATCAAGACTTATTATGTTTCAATCTACAAACATCATTCGACATCATTCTACTTGGGTTTATTGATATTCGTGATGTTCGTCATCGTGGTCTCGTGAATCATATGAGTCATTAAATGTCATGTTCTCGTGCCAGGCTCCCGTTCAAGAGACCAGTCAGGTTTCAGTGTGGCCTAAATGTTGAGGCACGAATTACCTATAACAGCACATATACGATTGAAACAATGTTGCCTCCAAATAACTAATCCAAAAAAAAAAAAGTAGGTAAATATCTAACTCCCCGAGTCTCGTCACAGACAACATCGAAACATATCAATGAGCTTGCAGGCAGAGCAACATTCCAACTTTCGTTCGCCACCCGCAGTGCAACAGTCAGCCCTACAGGAAAAGGTCGTCCATACGCAGTACGTATAATTTACGTATCTTACAAACCCATACATCATGCATGTGTCAACAAAATGGGGCCGAGCTAGTAGTATGTATGTATGTATGTAGTGTGTACATGTAATCTATGTATAACTATACCGCGCGCTTTATTGAATTGAATTTCGTGTATTTTCCAAGAAAGCGGTTGAGCAATATATATCCCTGCAGGCCACGAGCATACAAATGTAAGTATTCGCACAGGCACCAGATCGTTGCATCCTATGTATGTAACGTAACACCGCCAACTAGGCACTACGAGCAACTCTACCAGATTCTATGGATAGATGGTATTCCGTGCATGGGGTCCAAACTGCTCCGAGCCAAAGGGTGCAATATATCCATGGACCTATCTAATGTGAGCCGTCTTGTCCGTATGTGTCGTCGAATCGCGATGTGTAAATGGACGCGCGATGAGCGCGAGACGGGAAATTCCAGTCTCAGCTGACATTTTGTGTATGTATGTTTGTACGACTTTTTCTTGTGAAAGTCTGCTGCCATGTGGTAAAGTAGTTTACTCATCACGATGCGCAGTTATCAGGGCGAGGTATGTAGGTACACGATTTACATCGCATGCATATTGGTAATTACCATGGGAAGCAATCCTGGCAGCATGGTAGTAGGTACGTACTATCTAACAGGAGCTTCTTGGCTTCAGCTGTAGTGGTGGTGTGTCCTAACCCGTCTCTCGGGATCCCAGGGTATGGGACCCCCGACAATTCCATCCAATCGCCGTCCAAAAGTAGCCGAGTCCGCATCGTCGAGCGTTAATTGGAGCCTTAAATCCCAGCTGTCATTGTCCAGATATTTACGCCCTTTGGATCTGTTGTTAGCGTTGAAGCGACGGTATTGTACTACTCGTTAGGGTGATAATACGTTGCGATCACAATGACCCGCTGTTTAGTATTTACACATTTACGCTTGAATGGGTTGGGTCTGGAACGGACCGAGAAACTCAGAATATAAACAAGCTCCAATCAGACGAGACTCTGCATCCACTGTTCTAATTGCATCTTGATAATTGTGGATGCGAACTTGAATGATATCAATAATTGAACCAAGTAGCTGAAAGGCACACTATCAGAATAGCCTACTAAGTAAGTCCGACAGACCATCCCGCATCGAGAAAATGCTACTTCCACAACCATTCTACGTCTGCTAGTTTCAATGTTTCAGGGAATATTTCAATCAGGGTCCATACTTCTTAGTACGTACTTGCAGGGCACTGAACCACTGAACCGTGCTGCCTGACTGAGCAGCGTGCATGTGTCAAATAGCAGCTTCCTGCCTCCCAACCGGACCCGGAAGGTTACTATATTGGGAAAGTGATTCGTGGACTCGTTTTTTCATTAACCACACGACATTTACGACGTTGATGTATCTGTCTGTCTTGACAGGGGTTGGTGATATGCAAGGAGAGCCAAGCCTTCTAGAAGGACGCGAGAAAAATACGATTTCTGAGATTTTGATTGGATACAGGGGTATACACGTCGTGGTGGTGGGGGGCTAATATATTCACCCTGACAGCACGCGAGGGGCTCGATTTTCTGTACATACATACTGCGTACCTAGCTAAGCACCCACGTGGTCAATTTGTAATTCTCTCTTATCAGGGTTCTATTAATATTCCTGATCAGGTATGATGTCCACGGATGTGATGGATGAGTTCGTCCGTAAATACGTTGGTGTACGTACACCCGCGTGACAGGCTGGGGTATGAACATTGATTATTGAATCCATAGCCTTGGAATGATCATGACTACATACGCTTGAGAGGCGTACATGCATAGCGCGCAGCTCATTCCTCGGCGCCTACCTACATCAACGTCCTCGTGTTGCATATGCACAAAGAATTTTCTAGAAGCTGAACTTCTTTTTCTGGCACAATCTCGTACGAAGCACGAACAAGCCAAAAGTCTCGCTTATCTCGTCAAATGTGGAAAATTGGCAAGGGAAATGCTCGTATCTTCGGAAAGCCTGAAAGATTCTATCCAGGGCACGGTGATCTCCGAAGTATGACAGGTTTGACAGCTATGTTTCTCCGAAGAAGATGCGCGCATGCATGCATGCACGTATGAGTTTTGTATCCATATCTACTGCCTACTCTACGAGACATTGACGCACAGCTCAGATCATTATTCGCAGATGCGTATATTGTTACACCAATTTTTATTCTTAGAGTCAACTGTCACCACACCTTCCAGGTGAATACACTGACTGTTTGTACTACATGGCAATCAGCCCGACTAGACTCCCCTTCTAGATTTGGTCATATTTAGGGGCGATCTTGTTCGAGATGACTGTTTCTGATGATGCTCTACGCTCACCACACCGTAGGGAGATATTGTGGCACTGCTTGAATTGCGGTTTTGGCGAGTCGAGTAAGAAGACCTCCAAAAACCTCACTGTCGATCAATTTCTGGGCAACCTCTTGGAAGTCTTCAGAGTCTCCTGCTATGATTGTAAATTGTGCTTATTTATGTATAAAGTAGAAGAATCATCATCATTATATCCAGCTATGTACATTTTAAAATCAACACTGCTCAACTGCAAGCTACTTACGCTGACCATAAGCCTTGGTAGCGTAATCACCCTTGTGGACAATCAAATCCTCAGGACGGTAGTCGTGACGTCCAGAGAAGTAGCTGTCGAGAATGTTCTTGGTGCCCTGGGCATAACGGATCTGAGCATCGATGGAAGTACCAGACATGTGAGGAACCATGGCATTACCGCCACCCCAGGGTCCTTCAACGTAACGGAGAGGGTGGTCCTTGGGAGCGGGCTGAGGGAACCACACGTCACCACCGTATCCACGCAAGTGACCGCTCTTGACGGCCTCGGCAACATCTTCCTTGACAACAATGGCACCACGAGCGGTGTTGACAAGCCATGAGCCCTTCTTCATCTTGGAGATCAACTCCTTGTTGAAGAGACCCTTGGTCTTCTCGTGAAGAGGGCAGTTGATGGTGACAACATCGCACTGAGCGAGCATCTCTTCAAGAGAGTCAACGCGACGACATCCAATCTCCTTCTCAACCTCGGGCCTCAGGGGCTGGTAGTCATAGTACAAAAGCTCCTTGCAGTCGAAGGGCTTGAGGCGGCGCAAGACACGTTCACCGATACGGCCAACAGCAACGGTTCCGACGACCTTGTTCTCCAGGTCATATTCGTTCTTGGCAACAGCAGCGACGTTCCAGTCACCGTTGCGGATCTGGTCGTGTGCAGGGACAAAGTTGCGCACAAGAGTGAGGATGGTCATGACGACGTGCTCAGCGACGGAGACGACGTTAGAACCAGTGACCTCAGCTACGGTAACACCGCCGTTGGTCTTGTTGGCAGCGTCAAGATCGACATGGTCGGAACCAATACCGGCAGTCACAGCGAGCTTCAGGTTCTTGGCCTTGGCAAGGCGCTCTGCGGTGAGGTATCCAGGATGGAAGCTACCGTCGTCAGCATTAGATCACCTAAATCGCACTGGTTCTACTTACGGAGTGGTGATGATAACTTCAGCGTCAACCAACTCCTTCTCGAAGACGGAGTCAGGACCCTCCTTGTCGGAGGTGGTTACCAGAGTGTGMCCCTGGTCTTCGAGCCACTTGCGGATACCGAGCTCGTTCTCAGTGGTACCGAGGAGGCCGGGCTGCTGTTTGGCATGCTCGCCGCCCTTGATACAGTCAGCTTATGTCAATTACACATGGACGAAAGAACTCACATCATAAAGGACCATCAACACTTTACCCTGTCGGGTGGCACTTGCTGTTAGTGTACGCACTCCAGAAAAAACAGGCGTCCGCTGCAGGACAGGAGCCCGCCATTGGCGAGCAAAGAGCGATGCAGCAGGACGCTGAAATGTACGGGGGATAGAGCGGGCAAATACCATGATTGATAGAAATGTTTGTTATTTGGAATAAACAAAAAGAGATCGTTAGGTTCTGAGAGGAGGGGTGTAAAGGGGCTTAAGTATCTGCAGTCGTCAGCCAATTGACCTAGTAGGGGGACTGCATGCAGGGAAGAGCAATGCGGGGAAGCAATTAGGGCTATCATTGGTGGGTAGGACAGAACAATGATAACATAGACATGATATGATGCAATGGACGTACCTTGATAGAAGTATGAAAAGAGTAAGCCGATGATGGAAAATAGTAAAGAAATATATCAAACAGAAACAGGGCGTAGCGCCCATTATATAATTAATCTACATCCACTCAGAGCCAGCTCGCCTCAGAGAGTTGTACGACGCTCTCCTCATATCCCCTCTTCTCTCACCACGTAAGAGGACAGCTTCGTGCCACCCCACCTACCATCATGTCAATGCCCGCAGAATTGATTGACACTCGCAGGGAGCGCTCGGATGTATCACCCAGCAGCACGCAGTAGTTGCAAGTGGGAAATGCACGGATAGCACGGTTGTAGAACTTCTTGATTCAGCAACTTCTTCCCACATCTTTGCCTATTCGGGAAAAACCAGTCCTGATTGGCCGATATTGTCCTGGAAACTCCACCTATGCTGTCTTCTGAGCCAATCATGATGCCGTTAGCCAGTGAGGGGTTCCCCTCACTCTAAGCCGAATTCGGCAAGACACCATGTGAGGGGAAGCTCGCCGTGAGGGGATCCCCTCCCGACTGCGGCCAAATTATTCCCCTCCATCATTTACGTGTCGATTCTTCATCTGCCATGTTGCTCCTCTGTGAAGGACCTTGCGAGGAAGACGCTTCTTTCTGTCTTCCTCCCTACCACACTGTTACGACTCGCATACTGCCACCATGCTACGTGCCGCGCGAAAATGATTTCTTCTATCGCTCGTCTACAACGACAGTGTCATTGAGCTGACGAGCCTTTTGTATTGTCGCAAGAACAGACATTGAAGATAACAACAGCACGGACAGGTGTATAGTGCATGGGCTATCTCATCGCAGCTTCCACTTGCTTGACGGGCACCTTCCTGATGTGCGGCGTGCCGTTGAAGATGGCTCTTCATTTAAGACAACAGTGCAGGCGAAGAGTTTGACTATCACGTACATGGACAGAATTAACTGGGCTAAGAGTAAGCGCCAGAAATACTTGCAGAGATTGGGATTCGAGCGCAACTGCCTAGCTTGTGAAGATAGCCCGGAGAGCAGAGCCGGGAGGAGAAACGATTTGTCTTATCTCGACTGAAACAAGACCTGGAGGACCGTTGGACCTTGATACCGAAGATTCGCCGGAAGAGACATCGAAACTAACCCAGAAACTGGCTGCGACGCAAAAATCTGCTGGACTTCTAGGTCAATAATTATGTCATTCGTACATTATATGCACTCCGGCCGTTTCATCATCTACTGACACTTTCCAGTTATTACTACGCGGCCAGACTTTTCATTCGACTGGGAGATACAAGAATGGCTTTACGGTGGGGCGAGAAAGGGCTGGAGGTTCATCGTCATTGTGCGGGAGAGGACCATCCCGAGTATTGGACTACCTTGCTTTTACAGAGTTGAAAACACTTTGAAGCAAGGTATGGGTATTCGACGACCTCATGGCTGCTAATCTCAACACCCTTGGTCCTGTTTCCAATCGCTTACTTTGAGTTGGGAGAACTCCAATTATTCGATGAATAATCATTATCTCCGAACTATCCGTCCGCGAAGTGAAGTGCTGTTGTTACGCGCATTTACTATCCCTTTATATTGTACAAGTGCCGATGTTTGATCGGTGACGCGTTACTCTATTTACACCCTTGTAGAATTTACTAGAATTCCGATAGGAGGATACATGATACCTCTCGTGAACGGTTTACTTATGGCTTAGCACCAATTATCGCAAGTACCATACTTCCACGTTGGAGATATACTATCAACTCCATTATAGTTTCGAATTGATGGGGAAGCTTATAGCTGCCATTATCAATTATAAGTAAAAAGACAAAAAGAGAATGTCGTTGATGGCGGCTCAAACCCTTGCGGTTTCATCTTGCATTGAGGAGTCCTAGCCCTAACCCCTGCCTGTCACGGCTGCCCTTCCCGCGGCTTTACTTCGCTAGAACCATCACCACGCGAAACTCCTAGAATTTCATCTCTGTTCGACATACCGCCACTAATGTCATGGTCAATGGAACCTGTCTGATTCGCCAGTGTAAGGTACCAGCAACCCCGAACGTCTCACGCATCCCATTTCAGAAATATCACTACGACTAATGACGAAAGTAAGATCATTTTCGGACGACCTTGACCTCCTTACATGTCTCTTTGCGAACCTGCGACACTACTCAGACCCAAAGCCCTGGGATCGATGAGACTTGTTCTTACTATTTTGAGAATAGCCATGAACGATAAGCCCAGTCGCAATAACATTTGATACGCTTTCGATGACCGTATTACTGTAGGTAAAACGCCAACATGGGAAGGAGCTACGCAGGTCCTCCTTATGGAGACCGCGCCTCCCCCTATATGCTTTCTATCTGTTCGAAGAAAGTGCCGACAGAACTTTTCATCTTCATTGTTCCTTTTTTTTTGATCATTCGTCACTGCGATTGTCCGTGTCATTCGTTTCTTCATCAGCCCCGGACGGCTGCGAAAGCTATTCAGCTGGTCTGAACTGGACGCTTCTTTCATTCACTTCGGTCAACGAGTCTCTGGAAGCACTCAACAATTTTGAATAATACTATTATCTAACATTGACATTCATTTTGATTCTCGAAATCTGCGATTCGAACGTTGCATATATACATCAATAATCGATGCCAATTCGTACAACGGTATAGTCCTCTTACTGGGACGAATGCCGGTGCGTTCAACAAAATTTGTATGATGACAATATCATATCTATTTGAGCGACTTGCAAATTCGAATAATGGCCGTGCACACAACCATGCGGCGGTTAATCGAACTGCGTGGTATTATGAGAATAGCACGCCGACATCAACGATACTTTGGATTGCGTTCAATATGGCTTCGGCGGGGCTGTTAATGGCGACGATATTTTTTGATTTGTGGAGGGCATCGAGGAAGAATGGCTCTTTATCAAGCGAGTATGTTTGCAGTCGAATGACAAATGAGAGAATGATAAGCTGACCTGCTTAGAAAGCGACAATCACTGCTTCTGTTGATTCGGCCTGGTGAAGTCTTGACTCTCTCATTTACAGCAGCGGTACTTGCTCAAGGCACGGTTCTAGTGGTTATACAGTCCATGCAAATGTCTCCTTCCATCTCTACGGATTGTGGCACAGTTGGACAGATAGTGTTCCCAGGTGAGTCCTTTGATTTGTGTTTGGTATAATTGTTCTAACAACAAGCAGCACTGTGGATAGTAGGACTTGTGATACTCGTTTTCGGAGTCGAAACATTATACCGTGGTTTTCAAAGGAACAGATTTGCACCACGCAAGAAGGGAGCGATCTATATCTGCTGGGCAGTGGTCATCTTGTTGACAGTATTGTCATGGATTCCGACTCAGGTTCGACGATCAACGCTCAGGAAATGTTCGTCTGGATTACTCTCGATCGTGGAGCCGTGGAGCGACATTGCCTTGGGGATATCGATTGCTTTTATTGTTTTTTATACACTGATTGCGTCGATACTGATGACGCAACTGTTTCGTTCAACCGGCGTGGATACAATGGAGAGAGTTGCTACGACGCAGATGGTTTATTACCTGGTGATAGCCACTGCCGTTTTTGTAAGTCCTGTCCTCGGTTAGACTGAATAATCCCTTCTGATGAATGTAGGCCTTCTTTTTACCTTTCTGGGCAAGAGTTACCCTCGGCTTGTCTCAAGGAATTACGCCAATGATGGCAACGGTGTCAATCAACGTGATCGGAATTGTCATATCGTTCTTGCAATTATTGTTCCGATCATATACTGAGCCCATGACCATTCGATACTGGGAGTCGTCTCAAAACTACCGTTGGAAGAATGGACTCAAGAGAAAGATCTCATCTCCAATTGCCATTCCTCAGGACGAATATCCTCTCTTTGATGACAGCATCAATAGCATGCACAAAGGCACGAATACTCGAAAGGGCTTTTTCAACAGGATGGATATCGATAAATCCTTACCCCCGACACCTACCATCAGACAAAATTCCAACATCAAAGGCAATAACAGCAGAAAGACATCCTATTCGATTTTTCCAACGAAAGCTAGTGCTCGCAAGCCCAAATACCCAGCTTCGAGCATCTATGAAGATGATATATTTCTTGTACCGCCGCGCCCTGCATTTGCAGCTCATAATCGAAATTCATCCGACGTCAGCCATGCTACAGTGCAAATCGGATTCCGTCTAAGCAATCTTGATCGTCCTCCATCAGGATTAGAGAATCGTGACCCATCATCAGCGGCGACTGCTTCAAGGACCTTTTCCCGCTTTCTCGCTCCTCCATCCTTTTCAATCTCAAACACAAACTCAAACAATCACATTTCAACAACCTCCCTTGACGTCCCGGTCACACTCCGGTCTCCAGCCACAGAACGTCCCAATGTGACCTTTCCTTCTCCGACAGTAGCATCGCCATCAAGACTAAGATCAAGCACACTCCCCGCCCCAACACAATCCATTACCAGCGGCGGCGCAAGATCACCAGGCGTCTACAGAAAGCTAGACGATTTGCAAAAGCTGCTCGAAGTGGATCTGCAAGCTGCTCAGAAAGCGGCTGCGGACAGTGAGGCATGGCCGCTGAGGGACTCGTTGCCGGGGTTGTTGCCCAAGTCGACATATCGTCCTGAGTGATTAGGTTAGCAGATATGACTTTTGAGAACGGTCTATTCTTCTGTATTTATTCTTCTTCTTTTCTTTTTTTTTCTTGATATCACTCTTTGGTCATTGCGTTGTATAGGTACCTGACTCATTCTTTACGTGTGATGTGTAAACGTCTTCTCTCTTTTGCGATCTCTGTCCTCTTTCAATCATCTGTGTAGAACATAGATACAAACGATTATGAATATCTTGCTGAAATGCATTTGATGCCCCTGCTTTCATGTCATTCCGGATCTTCTCGAGCTTAGTTGCTTGCAAGCATACTGCGTCCCTGTTTTAGGCGTGAAAAAGGGCGACTCTAGATAGGCACACCTGTCAGCCCTCGGTATTCAGCCTTTTCTCATAGTCTGGGACTTCTTCTCGTTGGTTCCTTGTGGTGTTAGATGTGCATGCTTCTGAATCCAGTTGAATAGCCTCTTCTTCGTAGTAGCTTCCGCTAAAATGGCCCCATGTCCGCCCAATGTTGTCAGATGGTACTTAATTATCCCGTATCAGACAATTGTAGAGTGATATGACGAATCTCCGACTTGGTCACTCTTTCTGCAGGAAACCCCAGACTTAGAATAAGCTTAATCTGTATGAACGCGTAATCCCTCCGTTTGCCCGTGACTTGAAACAATCCAATTTGTTGATCCCGGCTAAAGTGTTACTTGCAAGAAACTACTTCACTATGCTGATTGCAATCGGATCGTCCGCCCGGCTTAGGCTGAATTGTCATTAATTCAGGAAGTTGTTTGTTTTATGAAGCTATACATTTGCAATCCCGGATCTGCAGATCATACAGAATTCTGGGGATAAGTCAGCCTGTAAATAGCCGGATGAGTCTATTGGGGTTGAAAATGAAGTCATTCAGGATATGGCATTGGATATTTGTGCCTTTTGTCCGGTTGCTCTTGTTTCAATCAGAGAATAGTCTGGTGCCCTGTGGATATGGAAGAGTCTTTTGTCGAAGATGGGTATAAAAGCCTGGTGAAAGCAGTTCCAAACTCCAAGTCCATTTCTCATCATCATCAACTTCAAACTACTCAACGAATATAGCAAAAATGGTCGCATTCTCAAGTCTCTTTACTGTTTTCACGGCCATTGTCGGCTCCCTCGCTGCTCCCGCAGATCTGGTCAAGGATGATAACGTCCCTGACCTCGTCAGCCGTGGCCCTTCAAACTTCATCATCGATACCACGAACAACACCTCCTTGGCTCGCCGATCCGCAATCAACTATGACCAGGACTATACCACCGGCGGAACAGTGAACTACTACTCCTCTAGCACTGGCTTTGAGGTCACCTGGAACACCGAGGACGATTTCGTCGTGGGTGTCGGCTGGAACCCCGGATCTACCACGTGAGCCTTCTGTTCCTCTATACCTTCTATGCCTGATTTCATCGCTGACTAGAAAGCAGTCCCATCAACTTCGGCGGTCAATTCTCCGTATCCAGCGGCACTGGACTCCTCTCCGTCTACGGCTGGTCCACCTCCCCCCTGGTCGAATACTACATAATCGAAGACTACGCCTCCCCACCCAGCTTCGGCACCCAAAAGGGCTCTGTGACCAGCGACGGCGGCACTTATACCATTTGGGAGAATACGAGGGTCAACGAGCCCTCGATTCAGGGTACGTCGACGTTCAATCAGTACATCTCTGTGCGCCAGAGCCCCCGTACAGAAGGTACGGTTACGGTGCAGAACCATTTCAATGCGTGGGCGAATCTGGGGTTGAAGTTGGGTACGTTGAATTTTCAGGTTATTGCTGTTGAGGGCTGGGGAGGGAGTGGTTCGGCTTCGTATGCTGTTAATAACAGCTAAGCTGTGATTACATGCTGGGAAGGAACGTGTATGTACTGGGCCAGGTTAAGCAGTGACGACTCTTCAGTCAGTATATCCAGATACATATAGTACAATATTCTACAACCATCATCTTTCATCGTGAGTAGAGAGGTTAAAAAACAATATTCACAACCCTCCCGCCAGGAACAACAATGACCCTCCTCCTCTTCTCCCAATCATGTTTCTCTCTAAGCCACACTTTCCCTTCCTCTGTTGCTAGAATCTGATCTATTATCCACGTCTTTTCATCCATCTGTAGTTCCGATGATGCGGTCGGGGTAGCGCCGGACATCAATCGGGGAATTGTCACGTTGAAGCGTAATTTACCGTTGATCTGGACTCCGACGTTCTGACCGCCACGAGCTCGGAGGGCGTTTGCCTCGGTCTCTGAAAGCAAAGGTGTTGGCCATGTCGTTGTTGCCATGTTGATAGCTTCTGTATCTTTGGATAGCTCGGAGTGTAGGATCTCCCAAGTCTCGGATGTGAGAGCTGGGGCGATTGGTGCTAACAGTCGTAGAAGAGATGAGATACATGTATACAAAATTTCAGTGTCGTTTGGCCGGTTGGAGGCAAGCGTGTTTGTCAACTTGGTCAAGTCGGATATGACTGTATTCAAGGCATAGGGGTTCTTCTCGATGCAATTTGTCACTGAGATGATGGTGTCGTGTGTAGCGAGGAGGGCATCGACATCGGCGTCGGGGAGGTTAATGGGATTCGGTAGTTTCGGGAATGCATGTGGTTTCCCTTGGATGTCCTCCACAGACAAAGTCATTTTACCCTGCGTCGTCTGCGACAGCATTATAGTGGCATCCCAAACCAACTTCCAAAGCCGTATAAACCATCGCTCAATGCCGACAATCTTCGTCTCGTCCCATTCAAGGACCTCCGCGATCGGCGCCGAGAAGAGGACGTGTGCGCGCGTCGTGTCCGCTCCATACTTTTCCACACAAATCATAGGATCGACGCCATTGTGTTTACTCTTGGACATTTTCTCATATGAAACATTCGGGCGTACGGTTGTACCCTTGATCAGAGGGTTGTTCTTATCGGTCAAATCAAGCTCAGACGGGAGCAAGAATCGACCTGTCGATGGCTCGGAGTATGTTCTCCCGTGAACCATACCTTGCGATAACAATGTCCGGAAGGGCTCTGATACTGAGGGAGCCGCGGGACTGGGCTGGGCATGTGCCAGTTCCGGGAAAAGCTCGGTTTGTGTCAAGAACTTGTATATAAATCTTGCATAAAGAAGGTGAAGAATAGCGTGCTCAACACCGCCTATGTAGATGTCAACTGGACGAGCGACAGCAGGTGAAAATGGCTCTTTGGGGTTCTTAGGGTCTAAATAGCGCATGTAATACCACGATGAGTCCACAAATGTATCCATGGTATCTGTATCACGTTTTGCCGGTCCATGACATTTTGGACATTCCGTGTGCAACCAATCGTCTGCGGCAGATTCGAGCGGATTACCCTTCTGAGCTTTGAACCATTCACCTCCAATCTCGGGCAATTTGACGGGTAATTGATCGACTGGAACGGGTACTGGACCACAGCTTGTGCAGTGTATCATGGGGATTGGAGTACCCCAATAACGCTGTCGGCTAATTAGCCAATCGCGTAGTCTCCAGGACTCTGCAGCTTCGCCTCGACCGATTTGCTCGAGGTCGGCCACGATTTGTTTTGCCGCCTCTTTGGAGCTGAGGCCCTGATATTTCCAGCATCGGGATGTCAGGTAGCCTTCGTTCGTGAAAGCTTTTACATCTTGTACAGAAACGAGGGACGAATCTTGAACTTGCGATTCCGGCTGAATGACCAGTGGAATGAATTCCGACTGTAGATTCTCCTTGAAGAAAGCTAGATCTCTAGTGTCATGCCCAGGGACACCCATGACAGCTCCCTCGCCATAGCCGCTCAGGACGTAAGGAGCGACGAATACGGGCAGCTCTCTCGAAATATGTGGGCTCTCTTTGTCGATGACCTGCAAGGGATTCGAGGCGTAAACACCTTTCAAGCGATAGCCTACTTTTGAGTCTGGCGGTAGGGATGCAGCTTCTTCAATGAAAGCTTTGAGACTAGCGTCTGACTTGGCTGCCTCTTGAACAAGAGGATGATCCAATGATAGCGCGATGTATTCCACACCATACATTGTATCTGGTCGAGTGGTGAAAACTTCTACATCGCGTTCATTGTTGTGTTTTGAAGTAACTGCAAACTTGATGTTTGCACCATTCGACTTTCCCAGCCAGTTTCTTTGCATAGAGAGGACGCGTTCTGGCCAGCCGCCAGACAAAGAATCAAGATCTTTGAGTAGCTCCTCCTTGAATGCAGTGATGCGGAAGAACCATTGCTTCAATTTAAGTTGCTCAACCTTGGCTCCTGATCGCCATGAGAAGCCATTGGCATCGACCTAATTGAGTTAGACAGTGTCATATTTTATTAGGAAATAAACATACCTGCTCATTGGCCAGCACAGTCTTGTCCACAGGATCATAATTAACCAGAGCCTCGGCTTGATATGCCAACCCCTTTTCAAACAGCATCAAAAAGATCCGTTGGGTATGCTTATAGAACTCTGGAGAGCACGTCATCAATTCCTAGAAAGTGATTAGCATTTCACTTTTAAATCACTCGTTCACTTCAGAAATTGCATACTCTCTCCCAATCAAACGCCGGACCAAAGCTCCTTAATTGATCCTTCATTCTCTCAATATTCTGCACCGTCCACTCAGCTGGCTGAACCCCTCTCTCGATGGCCGCATTCTCAGCCGGTAATCCAAACGCATCCCAGCCAATTGGATGTAAAACATCATGTCCACGCATCTTATAAAACCGGGATAACACATCAGATATCGTATACACGCGCAAATGACCCATATGCATTGTCCCAGAGGGGTATGGAAACATAGACAGAATATATGATTTTGGGCGGTCGTTTTGTGGTGATCCCACACCAGAGGATGGTAATTGACCGTTTGTAACTTGTTCTAATTTTATTTGGTCTGCTTCTGCCCATCGTGTCCGCCATTTTTGGTCGATTGCGCGAATGTTTAGTCGGGGTGATTTGGAGGACGTCGAGGCGGGTCTCGATAGCAGGAAATGCGTTCGTGTGTTTAGACGACTCGAAATTGGTGTAGAGCTTCGTAGGCTATGCCTATAAAGACATCTTCTCGCTGAGAGCATCATGGCCGTGTTGTATACAACTCATGTAAAAAAGCCGTCGTCAGGTCAATGGAGGAAAGATCGTAGTGACGCACGATGATTGTTGCATCACTTCATTTCGGATCAATGAAAAATACATTAAACCACTCAATAATTGATTAAATGGCCAGCGTCTCGATCCGGCTTGATTTTGAGTGACTCAACTCGATAATTGAAGATGGGAGTTTTACGGAACGCGAGAGCTTAGAAGCTGCGGAGAAGACTCATCTCCGGCCCGAAATGGTTAGCGCATCCTCTAATGTTTACAGTGACCACCAAGTACTTGGCTCGTGATTTAATTTGCGGTGTAAAGAGACTTATCTTAAGGAGGAGGTCATCAAAAAGTGATATAAATACATATTGCTATAATACATTCCAGAACGGAGTCTAACTAAATCTAGTATCTACAGTCTATAAATCTCCCCATCCATACCAATCCCCCCACGAAAATGGTCCTCAACAACTCTTCCATTAAAGATTGTCTCCTCGACAAGGCCCTCCACATGCTTAGGCTCCACTCGTCCATACCATATACCCTTGCCGGCCAGCGGACTTGGACTTGACACAATTGTACCAGACGAGGAAGAAGTCGTCATAAGGGCTGGTGGGATGTATATAATCACGTTACCGGCATACTTATGTCCACCGACATGACTGATAGATGCAATGTTTGCATGCGCCGGTCCATCAATCTGAATTTCCCCCTCGCCATCATTATTTGTGGCAAACCCTTTCCGTCGCAACACACGCTCGAATTCGGCTTGCAAGACAGGCCTCATAATACCGCATCGCATATCACGACCTCCATGCCCGCAAATCAATATTGTAGGTGACTGCCGGATATCCCGTGCATCCGGGAAGTACTGAGAGGCAAATTCCGGCGAGCGCGTCATAATTTGTCGCTGTGATTCCGGAATGCCCGCATGCGCCGAATGGAGGTTGTGTGGGAGAAGGTATGCGCGCGCAAACGATTCGAGATTCGGTTCGGTTTCAGCATCTGTGTTCGTTGCGATTGGAATTTTTGGTACGTATTTAAAAGCTGGGAAGAGAAAGGCCGATGCGAATGGCGACGAAGCCTGTGACGTAGGCTTGAAAGAGGAATTGGTAACCACCAAGTTATTATAGGGCTAGATAACCTTCAATTAGCGACTGTCAGTTAATGATAGAAGAAGAGTACTGACATCAGCATATTTCCCTCCCCGACCAAACATATCTTTCAGCCCGCGTACCAGACTACCCCAGCTTTGCTCGACGCCATCTTCATCGATTCGACTGCTCCAATCCGTTTGACCAGTTGCGATAAGTACCTGCTGCGTATAAGGCGCCATAGTCGCATTGAGCGGTCTTGAGTGGTCGATCGGTAGGCCCTCGGGCATCGGCGGTGTTGGTGCACATGCACATGTTGGGTTAGGACACGTCGGTATAGTTGGGAAGGGAGGGCGCGACGGAGATGATATCGAACGAGAAGAAAGTATGTGTGCATGTGTTTGAGAAAGACCTCCAACTAAACGACTTTTTATAGAAGTAGCATGTCGTGGCAAGATCCGCAATGACATGGCGGGAGGAAGCTGCGTCAATAGAGACGCGAGCGTTATAGTCTATCAGGGTATCATATAGCAGAATGTCGGTATATATCAATGTGAAGCGGGGGACTGTATAAAACACAGAAAACGAATGTAGGAATGGAAATTGTTGAAAGGCATTGAAATGACAGAAGTGTGATTCAACTCCGAAGATATGCCGCAGCTCGGCTTCGGAGATAAGATCGGTATCTCGGATCTATTGATAACATGACTCGTCACAGCAGATGTGTCTACCTGGCTCTGGTAGCCAAAGTGGCCGTTGAAGTGTTTATCTGAGATCTTGTCCAATAAAAGCCTGGAAAGCAAATAAAAGCAATTTCTATGATGTTTTTACTCTAATACTAGGTAGMTAATGGTTGAAATCATTACGTGCATTACATTCATCCGACCTAATATCATACAAATATACATTCATATCCCGGGCATTAAACACTATGTCACGCATTACTTTATAGACCGCATCATAGTCCTCAAAACGTAGCCAACGCCAACTTCGACTCCGTCAAAGGCCACAATGAATAATAAAACCCAACCGCACCCAACACCAAAAGCACATAATATGCAACCGTCCAGCTAATACCCAACTGACCGCCCGCAACCTGCAGCGAACTGATTTCACTATCCTCCTTGGCTCGCATCTGAGGCGGTCCGATGGGGACACCAGCTTCGACGCGCCCCCACAATCGAGGCAATCCGCACCAGTTACAGAAACTGTGTACGAGAATCACGGCTGGAAGCGATCCAGTCCTAAGATACAAAAAAGCAGCAAACCAGCCGAAGACAGTCGTGTATCCGAATTGAAATATCGACCGGAACAGAATGGCTGGGATAGGTGTGTCTGGGKGAGTTAGTCGAAATTCGTAGAAGTGATGTACATGTGCGATGCCGAAGTAGAGGGGGGACACGAATACGATGCGCTCTGGAGACATTTTGGCTAGTAAATGGAGCGTGATAATGACTGAGCGGAAGATAATTTCTTCCGTAATAGGACCCTGGGAAGTATCAGTATCTGGGTGAATAGTCTTGGTAGGGAGGACATACAGCAACATAGTTTCGAAAGCCAATCCAGCTCCGAAGTGTTTCTGACAAACCCTCTCCTCGGATCCACGATTTCCAGCCGTCCTCTGCAATACCTCTTTCAAAAAGAGGACCGCTGAACAATATAGCGGTTAAGAGAAGACTCTTGATGATCTCCACGATGCCAATCGGCCACCAACCGAGAAGTTTCAAGGCTTCTGGAAGCGAAGTACTGTCCCCTTTCAGGGCAATGAGAATCAGGACAAAGACAGTGCTGGCGACACAGGCCATTGTCACGGCTCTCACCCGACTTCGAATGACAGATGGGGCATCTCGACTCAAAGAAGGAGATGGCCGGGTAGTTTTGGAAATGTAGAATGGCACGACGTAGCCCAAAGTTACGAGGACCTTTTTGGTCAGAGAAATGCATGAAATACAAGCACATAGTCACTTACAGAGAGCACGGCGGCAGTATTGACGGATAGGATGGGCGCATGGTCTACAGTAGATCAGCATTTGAGTTCATGGGCAAGCATTAGTGTGGATCCTTACGAGTTTGTTTGGTATATAATATCTTGAAACGGTCCATGATGCCGACTGGGGCCATGGCGAATGAAGTCAAAGTCAGTCTCGACCTGGGGAAAGTTGAACGGAAGTGGAGTCGTGAAACGGGGAAGGTTAAGCGCTTGATTTTCGACAGTGCTGGTCAGGATCCGAGGATATCTCAGGTCCTAGTAGCCATGCTGGTGAGTAGTTATCATATCTTTTGAAAGATGAGCTGTACAGGCATGGTGGTCTAGACAAAGAAGAAAAGAAGCTGGCGCGTTCGCCAAGAAATCGATCGATCATTGCCAAGACTCGGCTGATCTATATTTAACCGACGAAATAAATACCTCCTTAGCATCATTTGGACACACATACGGATAGAGAATCGAATTGTGGTTCATCTTTGAGGAGAACTCTTTATAGCCACCGTTGGAGGTTAGTTCGGCATATATATTGTCCCATATCGTGTAGGTGAGGATAGTTTTGATAAATTACGGCCTGTAATCTTGAGACTACAGGTAGAGCGTATGGTACCTCGAAATATTACGGTAATACAAGATGCAATTACCTCTAACGCGATCGTTACAGATGATATCACGCTCGACTACTCCATACTTCCTTCCGACCTCTGTACTTGCCTAAATATGGCTTCATGGGTCTTTTTTAGTGGGTGTTTATGCCTGAGTTGCTTCTTTATTTTTATGTTAGAAATTAGGTAGAAGAGCTATCTGTAAGTACTTATTGTCCTTGGCTATTGCCGGTGCTCGGTGCTCGGCGCTCGGTCTCACACGCACAAGATACGTCTCCTTTGTACGAAGTCCTTGACATCGAAGAACAACAGAGAAGGTAAGATTTTGCTACATCAAAATTTCAGCATGGTCAGCCCTCTTGTCACGCGGCGTAACGGCAAAACACAAGCTTGCGAGCCTTGTCGTCGACGCAAAGTGGCATGCGATCACGGTTATCCAGTGTGCCGTCGTTGTCTTAAGCGACCCAACGGCGAGTCAACTTGCTATTACGCGTCGCCAGATCAGGATGCACGGTCTGCTGAATTGACTGTTTCTCGCCAAGCTGTACATGACACATCGACGCTGGGTTCCAAGTCCACAGCAGTTTCATCCCAAGCCAACAGGCATGTTGGTCCTGAAGACAGAATATGGAGCTCTCCAGCAGCTCGAGCACCGCGGGGCTTCTTTGGTCCAACGAGCCTCTCTGCAGCTTACTTGGAGACTGAATCTAGTCTAGCTGCGCGAGGTCCTTCACCCATTGTACCAGCCTCACCGACAAAACCAACCGCTCCGTCTCCGGCTGACATACAGAACATGGTGAATTTGGACCTATCAGCTAACAACCTGGCCATTAGAGCGTTGCAAGCAATTCCAGAGGAGCCTGCTATGAGCCTGTATCGTTCCCACACCAATCCCAATGATGAATGGATGGGGAGAATTAGTGAAAGACTGGTCATCAGCACCTGGGAGACGTTTGGCTCCTACCTCCGTGACCGGGAAAATGTAGCTAAGCTGCGTGAGTTGGGAAGTATGATCTGCATTAACACAAGGAGAACCCTCAGAGAGGACCAAGATGACCCTGAGGCTTGGGTCGAAAGCTTTTCAGGACCCAACTTGCGTTGGGAAGCAGTTGGAATGATGTTCCTGTACATTGCTCTCGGTGAATTTTCTGCGTCCTCAGGCGAAAAATCGTTGAAAACAATAGGTCACTACACGGAGTTTTGCTCATCTTGCATCACTCTAGCCAATATGGGAGGAAGTTCTGGATCTCTTATGCTATTTTTGTTGTATAAACGCTCCGTGCTGCACGCGTGGATGTATGGCGAGACCAGTAAGCCCATCTCTCCGATTCAGCCATATAATGCCTTTTAAACCAAATTAGGTCTTCCGTATTGGAAGTTTCACGCCGAAACAGTGGCGATGCTGACGTTTTCGGGCTTTCATGACAACCGGTCCAAGGAGTCATTTTCAGCTTCGTCTGAATCGGTATCAATGGAGGCTCGTAGACGAATTGGATGTCAAATTTTCATAGTGGATAAATTTCTAGCCACTTTCGTCGGACGGCCTCCTCTTCTGACACGAAGATTTTTCTCTATGAGCTTGCCATTAGATTTGGACGATACCGCACTGCTCTCGGACAAAGAAACTTTCCAAGGACAACTTCATCGTATTGATGCTGATGGATGGGACATGGATGGTCGGTTCCACTCTAGCTCACTACTTCGCGTTCGCATGATGGTGGCGTTGATCCGAGACGAGATTCTTGAAGTCGTGCTTGATCAAAGTGGGAATAACGCCCTTGATGATATTCTGTACGAGAAGCCCGAATGACTTACTATGGTACGGATTTACTGATGAACATCGTCAACAGAGTGCTCAAGAGCAAAGAATTAGAACTATACCAGAAATTGCCAGCTCATATTGTCTACAGCCCTATAGGTGAAGACATCGGCAATATTGACCTTCAAGTAGTCTATCCGAAACTTCTGATAAGACTCGACCATTTGCTCAATGTTTTCTTAGTGGAGCGGATACTGGTCAAACATGGTCGTCCTAGGAATGACCTTCTACGCACCAGCTTCGAAATGGTAGTTCTGACCTTGCAGTTTTGGACTCAGAAGCATATATGGGCAGAAATCCAGGGGGAAAGTCGGTGGATAGTAAGTCATCACTCTGAACCTCGTTCAAATATTTTACCAACCAAGATGTAGATAATGGGACATGCAACTCTAGCCGGGGCTGTCTTATGCATGGAACTCATAGACCCTAATCCCGTGAGTATTTCCACAGATACTGAGGATAAAATTGCCGGCGAGAGCTACTCCAGGTCTTCCATCATTCAGCAACTCAGCCTCCTCGTGGGTTACCTGAATTCGTGGAGTCCATCACAGCCCAGCAGTTCCGTTGCTTCTAACGTCAGAGGAGTCATCAAAAAGGTTCTCGATCACCTTCTCAATGATCCGAGAGGACCGCAGACGCCGATAGGATTCGGATTTGAGAGCTTGGATTTCGCAATTGACTGGGATATTTTAACACCATTCAATCCAATGGATAATGTTGATTGGTTTGCTGAACGAGAGTAATACGGAATGTAGTAGTGTATCGCTCAAGACCTGAATATTGGGAGCACTTATCCCAGTGACTATCACGACCGCTACGAGACCAGGAGTCCGCAGCAGATTTATACTATGCAACCATATGTTGGAAACGCCGAATCTGATGTCCGTCGGAAACAAAGGAGCCCATAATCCGCTTTCTTTGCATCGACGTTATTCGAGCACCGAGGGACGGCGCTCGGTTTTTGATCCATGCTGTCCGACTCCGACATGGCTTTGGGTTCCGAAGCATGTTGCTACCGAGAGAGATACAAAAAATCATATATATGTGTGTATAAACCCCTATATTTAGTTACATCAACTCAACAGAATTATGTTTGCCACTTTGAAGAAGCACGCCATGACCGCCTCTCTTCCAATAACATACAAGGCGGCGTTCTTCGAGAACAAAGGAACCGAGTTGACTCTCCGAGAAGCCGAGCTCCAACAACCCGGACCTGGCGAAATTCTGGTAAAGGTCCTCGCCTGCGGTGTCTGTCACTCCGATCGTTTTGTACAACAAGGCTATCTAGGAGATGTGTTTCCTCGTGTACCTGGGCACGAAGCAGTTGGAGACGTCGTCGCTGTCGGTGAGGGCGTTACCAAATTCAAGAGAGGAGAGCGCGTCGGAGCGGCCTGGCATGGAGGTAAGTCTCGTCTCCGGCTATGATGATTCTGCTACTGACGTCTGCTCTAAGGTCACGATGGATCATGTCGGTCCTGCCAACGAGGATTATTCCAAACATGCGGCAATGCGACAATCAACGGCGTGACTATGGACGGTGGCTATGCTGAATATGTCTTGTTACGTGCCGAGGCAGCAGTGCGAGTGCCTTCAGATGCCGACCCGGCTGAGATCGCTCCTCTCTTGTGCGCTGGAGTGACAGTGTTCAACGCCATGCGAAACATGGGTGTAATTCAAGGCGGACTCGTCGCCATTCAAGGCCTGGGAGGACTCGGCCATCTGGCGCTGCAGTATGCCTCCAAGATGGGATACACTGTCGTCGTGCTGAGCTCTGGAGCTGAAAAGAAAGACTTTGCGACGCAGCTCGGCGCGCATCACTATATCGACACGAGCGCGGAAGATGCAGCAGAGGCTTTACAAAAGCTTGGAGGCGCGGACATGATAGTGTCTACAGCACCTAATAAGAAGGCTGTTAGCCCGCTCGTTGCGGGTCTGGCGTCTCTCGGAAAGTTGGTGGTACTCGCACCTCTTGGCCCTGTGGAGTTTGATACGGTCACGATGGTCATGAAGGGTGCCAGCGTCCATGGGTGGAATTCGGGACATCAGCAAGACTCGGAGGATGCGATTGCTTTTGCACATACGCACGGTGTGAAGTGTATTATCGAGAAATTTCCGTTCTTGACCGAATACCGGGAGGCATTCGACAAGATGGCAAGTGGCAAGGTCCGCTTTAGGTCTGTGTTGACTTTGTAGACCGGCATGAGAGAGTGGGTGGACTCAGGCCACAAATAGAAGGCGTCTTGCGACGACGAGTGGCAGCAGCAGATACCGACTAGACGAATTCTAGCCAACTGGATTCTGAGTAACACTGAAATATAATCCAAATAAAGAGTATTGTAGTTTGATATATCTGCCTCAGTAACAACCAAACCACCGTCAACTAGTCTCTTATACATCCTTCCAGTATATTATACTACTTAGGAGACTTATATAGCTTCCAAAAGTAGGATCTGTTCCAAGTAATGTTAGAATTAGCTATAATTTTTCTTGGTTTTGATGGCTTAAGAGAGTTACACCGTACACGCTTTTTAATGCACCGGGCATCACTCTTTTTATTGTTCAGACACTAAATCTACCGACTCAGTTGGTGTTCAAGCCTCAATAAAAGCTGGAGCATACATAAAATGAAATTGAGTTATTCCTCGCTATTCCTTCTAATCTATCTTAACCTGTGCAGGGACATCCTCGCACTTGTAAACGTCCGAAAAAGGGTCATGCAAAGACGACTCAGCCCTCGTGAACTCCATAATATTTGCAAGCTCAACCGATAATTCATCACCATACTCGTTCGCGACCCAGGCGAGCGTAACATCAATMCCCGCCGTAACACCGGACGACGTCCAAATATTCCCATCCCGAACCCAGCGCGCCTTTGCCACCCAATTCACTTTTGGTCCATGAGCAACACATTCTTTCCACAACATCTTGTTCGTAGTAGCAGATCTACCATCGAGGACACCTGTCTGTGCTGCGAGTGCAGACCCATTGCACACTGTAATCAAAGTATCGAGTTGGGGCACGGTGTCGCGCACCCACTGTCGCAATTCGGGAGCGGTATCGAACCCTCCCCATCCACCGGGGATGATAAGGACGTCGAGAGCAGGCGCATCATTGAAAGAATGAGTAGGCACAACACTCTGTCCGACGGAGTGCATGCCCTTGTGCAGAGTCGAGACCGGATCGAGAGTGGCGGCGATTACGGAGAGGCTTATGTCTTTGTGTGTCAGTGATAGGTTGTTGATCACTTCTATAGGGCCAAAGGCATCCAGGGCTTCGAAGCCAGGGTAAATGAGAAGACCGAAGTTTTTGGGGTCTAGGTTTTTGGGGTCTAGGAGATGAGTTGTTCTGCGTGAAATTAGTGCTAGGGTTAGGGCTAACTTACGAGTTGATGCCGCCATCATGAGCTTGATGGTCTTGTCAAGTACCAGCACTAAACTCGTATATCGTCAGATGCGAGGCACTCATAGCTGCTGATGGGGATTGTCCATTGATATACATCTGGCTTGAGTTGACGCTCTCCTTTGGAGAACGCCGTTGAGAAGTTTTGGAGCCGAGCACCGATCACCGAGCGCCGCATCTCGTCAGTAGGTAATGCGCAGCTTGAGTAGAAATATTGTGTCTCAGTCTGCACTCATATCGATACGTGGAGAGTGGTGGAAGCATCTCCGCGATTTATTGGTGATCCTTGACCAGCGACCAGTTAGGGAACCGTAGAGGTGAACAATGATATATTTCTGTACATGCATGCCTATCGTTCTACCTTGTCCCCAACTCCGTCAACTTTCTACGTTCCATATGGCTACAGCCTCATCATTGAGCTTGACAACACATACGGGGTATGCAGATTGAAACAATATGTGCATTTACAGTCTGAATTCTCGACAAGATCGTGAAGATAACCAATGAACGTCAATACTCGACGGGGATTGGCTGCTCTACATCTACTATGTAATTAAATAGGAGAAATTATCGGCGTCTGATTGGACGATAAATCACGAACCGTCCGGTCTGGCCAGCAACGCGCCTTACCGGAAATGGCTAAATCAATACACATGAAACGCGCATCGACGTGGCAGTTTTTCTTATTGCATTAACTTGATTGGCTGTTCTCGAACGTTTTCTCGTATTTTAGGAGTTTTTACTATCTACATAGTACTACGGAGTACTTTGGTAACATAGTACGCGCCTTGTCCCTCAGGCCAACGGTTCATCTTTGTCTTTCGTTGTTCCGATGAAGGATGAAGAGTTCGACATCCACAACAACAAGTGGATCAGCAGCATAAACAAAAACAAAAACACATCCCTACAGATGAAATCATTAGGTTCTCTTCGTCATAGTATCGAAACAATCCCATAACAGTAATTTGTATGCAGGTCTCAGTCGAGTACTCAGTAAGCAGCTGTAAATACCAGCCAATGAGTAGCCTGCGCTTGCCAAAAAAACCTGCAGCCGGCTGTAGGTGCTAGTAAAGTCAAGTTAGTCAGTCAACGCAGGAACGGTCACCTTTCTTTTTCTTATCCACAGCAAGTCAACGCTGTCCACTCTCCTGCGAACACTTCACCGCATATTGGCACATTCCTCTCCTCGCTGCAGGGCAACCCCATTCCACTGCGAGGAGTCTGCACCCCTTGACTCCAGCGGGCCTCGACTGAACGTGCGGATTGAGGATTAAGCCCGATTTTATGCTCTGGCAGACTGGCACTCTGCGGACTCTACTCCTAGTGCGAGGCTACTGCTACGTCCGTCTTCTCAGACTGCCGCCGCTTCATCTTCTCCCTCTCTTCTTCTCATCCATCTATCTGTCCGTCGTTTTCGTCGTTTCGCTGCCAGTCGTTTTTGTCCATCACGCTCTTTTTCAGACTCTCGTTTAAGTCACTCTTTACGATTGCTTGTTAATTCTTGTTCTTCTTTTTCTGACGATCTCTATTGATATCATATGTAGTAATTGTTTAATTTCTTCCGGATTGTCCAACTTTATATACACCCCACAGTCATTATCACTACTATCGATAATATCGCCCTTGCCCTAGCATTCCACCAAGACACCATACAATATTGCCGTGACTATCGTTTTTATTTATTGTTTATGTTTCGGATCTTTCAATAATCTGTCATTGCTTGCGCTACTGACCGATCAGCTTCCGGGTTGCTTCTTATATTTACGATCGTTGGATCTGTCACGACCTAGATTTATTCCGACGACATTGCACGTTCTCGTTATGAAATTACAGCACGACAACTAGACATTACGACTTGTACTACTATTTACTATTTTGGTTTTTTTTAGAGGGTTTGTGCAACATGTCACCCCGGCCATCGTCAAGTGTCTCTCCGAGAAGACGGCCACTCCATGAACGCACTCCATCACAGACAAACTCGGCTGAAGTCTCGCCCGGCCGAAGAGGAAAAAGAAGAGACGAGATTGATTTTTATTCTTCCACACCATATCCCACCAAACCAGCGCAGGTCCTCCTKCCGCGCCCGGGGATTGGCCAAGATTATGCGCTTCACGGCGCTTACGGGGTTTCGGATGTATCTTTAGTATCGACTGAAACAGATCATACGGCAACGGCGCCAACTAATCTCGTGGATCATGAGGAACGACATCGCGATGTTAGCGTGAACAGCAATACGTGGGATTTTTCGTCGTCGGTGGATTTGGCGCATTCGTCTCAAGTTTGGGATAATGATCCGCAGTCTAGCCAGTCATCCTTTCCTACGCCATTAATCCCTTCGGACGACGATGTTTTTAGCGAGGATGATGTTGTATTTGGGGATAAGACGGTAGATGAATTCGAAATACACGAACCAATTAGCCGACSGAGCCATGAGGATGGTTTATATGGCAGCGATATTTCTGACCCATCCGACATATCAAGACAAGACAACGAGGACGAGGATGCGATTCCTCTGCCAAGAACCCACAGAACTTCTATCAAGCCCGTAACACCGGGTAGCTCATCTCCCAACGAGCAGGTCGAAGATTATTCATCGTCTACAGAAAACTTTGTCACCTATGACCACACATCAAGCCCTAATGTGGTACCGATTGGTGCGCCATCAAGTCCGAACTTCGTCTCATTAGGAAGCTCAAGTCCAAACCTAGTCGCATTTGGAAGCTCATCACCAGTGGCTGGTGGAATGACCAAACGCTCTGATTCTACTTCTTCGTCTTCCAACTCTATGGGCACAGTCATCCATAACACATACAATGCCACAGGCTGGCCTCCTTTGTCGGAGGGKGTTTCGTCACAGCCTGCATCATTCACGTCCAGTCCGCCTGAGCAATTACTTCGAGGATATCAGTCGGCCTCGTCATTGGCACTATCTGGTGGGGAAACCAATTTATCGCGATCAAGAACTACGTCTACAGGCAGTGGCCGGTCTGAAAAATCATTGACTGAAGGACTATCAGCATCAATTCAATACCCCCAGATCCGTGCTCCGTCATATGCAAGTTCCTTTGCTGAGTCTTCAGCATCACAAATCCGACGTCCAGCACGAGCCATGTCAGACCGTTCAGTCACACGATGGAACCCGACGCTCTCGACGGTTCCTGCTCAATCCGTGGCGAACAGCGCAGGCGACAATATCAGTGAGAAGAAACAAGGTCTAGGATTAATGAACCCCAGCAAATCTACATCCACAATTTGGCCCGTCGAGGAAAACGACGAACACCTAGACAGTTTATCAAACCTGCCGCGATCAACACTGCGCCACATCCCGTCATCGCTCATTGGTACTGAGTCTCGCCCCGGATCTAGTTCCAGTATGAATGGGTTTTTAAATGTACTACCTAATTGGGTTCGATTATACTACCGCAGCAACAATGGCCAGCTTGTACAAAACGCTGCCATGTCGATGTTCGAGTCGTCTCGTCCTTCAACCGCAGCCTCTCGGCCGCCGACTCCTCATCGATATATCAGCCAAAACCCCAACCCTATAGGCATTGTTTCTCGTCCGCGGAATCGGCCTTCGAATGAGAGAGTAGTACCGGCTCCTCTACGGTTAGTGTCCGATCACCCAGCTGATCCGCGTAGTCACTGGAAACCTACCCCTGAAGAGCAACGTCTGCAGCGGCAACAGCTAGAACGAGAACAAATCGAGCAATCGACTCAAGCTGCCGCTACTGGAGACGAAACTACTCGTCGCCCTTTTGCAAAAGCATCTTCACCACATCTGCATCCAGACAAAAGCCATCCAAACCCTCGTTACACCTGGGTAGCGCCATCACTAGATTCAAGACAAGAACCTACCCTAGGACGACGCAATGTGCAAAAATACGCATTCTGTCTCGGATTCGTGTTTCCACTCATCTGGCTCATTGCCGCGTTCCTACCTCTTCCTCCGCAGCCGAGTCCAATGGACGAAGAGCAGAATGTGGTAGCTCAACCCGGCGCCCAATACCGGATTGAGCAGTACGAGAAGAAACGATACTATAATGCGCGCTGGTGGAGGAATGTGAATCGAGTTATGGTCCCGGTTGGTATTGCTATTATAACTATTATTGTACGTCTTTTCCCTGCATCATCTTGAACTCAATACTGACTTTTGACAGATTGTCCTAGCCACTGTTGGCACAATAGTCGGCTTCTAGACCGTTACTCTCTGATTTTTGCCCTTCGATTCATTCAACATATTTAACGCATTGACGACAGACATTTACACATGATTTTCCACTACATTACATTACAATCATTTCATATACAAAACATTCCACATTTACATTGGCAACTACATACGATCCTTGCAACGAATCGACCATCTTGCACGCCGTCCTCACGGCCCATTTTTATATATGGCAACATATCTCTTCTTTTCCTGCTGTACGACTAAATGACTTTCACGTGTATATATGATTGACATGTCCGTTGTCATTTTCTGACCTTTTTACATTGTTGGTCATCATGATTGGTGATTTATCTGCTTCTTGATTTTTATATTCTTGCCATCACTTGTCGAAGACTTTCACTGTTTTCGTTTCTTTCTTGTAGTGTATTCTCAGATTACCTAATTTGGAACTAATTCTCTTTGTTTTGGAGGATTTGTTTATACTTTATTAGTGTCACTCGTATCGATTGATCAAAACATATATCTATTTCTAGTAAACTCTCGCTCCTGTACTTCCTCCGTACTTAGGACTATTTTCGCTCCCCTTTCTTCCATTCTGTCATTGTACATCGCAATACCAACGTACTCCGTACCTGCAGTCGACAGTATTAGAGTTAGTTGACAGGTCACAATCCCTTCAGCATTGGAGTCCGATTCGTCCTTTGTGTGTGCAGCATGCATGTATGCATGCACAATTATTGCCCCTGACAGGACATGTCTTGGACTTACAGATGATTAAGACTTTCTTCTCCCTTGGGTAGCTATACAGCAGCGACTACGTGGCCTGGAACTGGAAGTAGGGATAGCCGCGCAAGAATCTGAAAACGATACTCAGATTGAAAAGTCTATCAGTCATGAACAGAACAGCATTCAGAATGTATATACCAAACGAATCGAATCGAATCAATAGACACGTGCATGAACAGCCCAAAGGAAAGCATGAGAATCGCCCTGACTCATGCAAATAGCCACATGAAGAAGGAAAAAGAAGTAGAGAAGAGAAAAGCAGGAGGCTATGTATAACTGACCGACGCTGGTATCAATGATGATGTACAGAATTCAATCCGAAAAAAAAGAAATGAAAAATTGAAAGGTCATCGCTTATGAAACTATTTACTTCAATGTAACTTATTCAACAATCACAATCAATCGGATATTTCCACCGGTCTGTCCGGGGATGAGCCATCCATCACGAGCTCTTTTTCTTCTTCTTCTTGTTGGTGGTGATTACTATTATCATTATTATTATCGGTAGTGGTTTGATCGCCTGATTCGGACGATACCACTATGGCTGGKGTGGGKTGTGATGAAGCAGGAGACTGGAGATCTTCCTCAGGAGCAGCGGAGGTCTCCCTCAACGAAGGAAGGACAAGTCCATCCGCGCTGTCTTTGCTACCGTTCGTCGCCGCGTTGCGAGATCGCATGCGCATTCTGCGCGCTCGTCGTTCGTCCTCGGCGCTTTCTCTGCGTCTGCGTGTGCGCTCTTCGTCTGTGTCTGTGTTGTTGCTGCGTAGGCCCTGCAAAAGATTGGCGGCTCGGTCGGCGATGTCTTCTCCTTCGGATACAGATTCAGCGCCATTTGTTGATTTGGCGTCCTCCTGGGGTGCGAGATGGTCGGTTGCGTCGGCGGTGGATATCATAGATGCACCCTCTCCGTCGTCGGCTTCTGCGCCAACGAGGCTGGGTATTCGCTGTCCTGATGCTACTCGAACTTGGTGTCGTTCTTTTAGTCGTGCTCGTCGACGTCTGTCGCGTTGATCTTTGGCTTGTGGTGCCGCTGCACGCAGCTTCTCTAGTAAAGAGTCCATTGCGCCGCTTGATGTTGGTGATACGGGGCTTTCGGTGGCGCCACCGTTGGCCATTGTAGGATTGACTCGCTTGCGTGCCAAAGACGATTCGATTCGTCTTCGGTTCTCTTCCAACGCTATGTTCTTCTCCTTGGATTTCTACAATTCATTAGCCAATATTCCTCAGTCTCAAATTGAGAAAACTAACCTTCCATTCTTGCAAGAAAGAAGCAAGCTTGCCGAAGAAGTCACGACGCGAGTTCTCATCCGTGTTGTCCTCACCATAGAATGTCATAATATCATCAAACGTCTTGGCCAAATCATCAAGGAATACCTGCATCTGCTCCGCCTTCCGCCTGGCTTCTTTCATACTTCGTTGGACCACCTGACTGACGCGATCCTGAGGGTGAAACTTCTTGGGATCACTCAAGTTGCCTGAGTCGAGACTTGATTGCACGTTCTTGATGGTGTTGATGTATTTCACGGCATCCTGACGAAGATTGTCGATATTGAGTTTGTGTACGCCAGCCACGCCTCCGATCTCATCCTGGAATCCTTCCCATTCGGGATATTGATTACGCACGATACGTTCAACCAAATCCGCAAATGTGGTTTCGTTCTTGTCGTCTTTGACCATACCCAATCGTGCAAGAGAACCGAGCTTGAAACCTTGTGCCTGCTTATTGGCATCATTCATGAAATTACCAATATCCAGGATCAATCCCAAAACGTTCATGAGTGATACAGAATCACGGAGAGAGTCGCACACTTTAGACACCTCCTGGATCTTGGTTGATATATGATCGTAGTCAGCCTCGTAGCTTCTCGTCAGTGCCAACGCACGCATCCTAGACTTCCAATAATGATTCAATTCATAAGCTGTTTGCAAATAAATTTGATCTTCTCGAGTGAGTTCGTTGATATCTTGTTCTCTCTCAGCTGTTGCGGCGTCGGCAACCGTCCAGTCCTTGCTATATGGTGCCATAAGTTTGGCGGTATTTTCGGCAATATTACAAAGATCGTCTCGCTGCAAGAAGTCCATAACGACATCATTCTCCATGATCTCCTTATCGCAATGAATGATCATCCGGACCAATTCATCTACCGGTGTTTGCGAAAACTTGGCCAACGCGACCTGGAAGGTTTTGGAAAGTTCGTTGGAAATGATCTGCTTCTTGTCTTTTCGTTTTTGTGCCGCGTTTCCACCACCTAGAATCTTTGTCTCTTTAGCCATGAACAACCGCTCCACTTCGTCAAGAACACCCTTCTTTGCCAAATCGGTGTACTTTTCTTCCTTGGCTTCGTTTGTCGGGGCATGACTGGCCCATACTGTGACTTGAGGAGTGTCAATTTTATCCCAATGAAGAGCCTTAAGTTTCTTCTTAGGTCTTATCGAAGGCATAGCAGTTGTCGGAGCATAAGATTCATTCTGTTGTGACAAATAGTTTGCTCGCCAAGCGCCAGGTACTGGAGCGCCAGGAGGAGGTGGGGGCGGCGGCGGCATACCGGGAGACATTGGGGGTGGAGGGGGAGGTGGAGGTATACCCCCAGCCANAGTAGGGTGGAGGTGTACCACCAGATATGCCAAAAGGAGGAGGGGGAGGAGGCGGCGGCGGCGGCGGAGGGATACCGCCAGCTGACATTGGTGGAGGAGGTGGCGGCGGAGGGGGAATAGCTCCAGACATTGGCGGCGGAGGTGGAGGAGGAGGAGGGGGAGGGGGAGGCGGTGGCACAGCAGTGGGKTTCGCAGGCTCATCTTTGACGTCKGCCTCTTTCTCAGCAGCTTCAGCTTCGGCCTTTTCTTCTGCTTTCGAGCCCCCGGCTTCTTCATCTGAGTCGTATTTGCGAACCTTGGCGGCAATCTCTCCCAATAGGCCGGTGGCTTGCATTGGGTTCATGCGTGGTCGTTCGTAGGTCTCTAGTGTGACCTTCTCCTTCTCCTCAACCACCTCTTCCGTCTCGCTGACTTCGGGTAGGGGTTGTGCCCCTTGTTCAGTCGAAGGAACCTTCTTGCGTGTGACAGATCCAAAGGTGCTGTTTGTTAGGGTTTGCCGAGTCTTCTTTTCAAATTCTTCTTCTGGCTGCGCAAGAGCACCTTCCATTTGCTCACGAAGCTCACGCAGACGGTCTGACGGACCATCTTGATTCCAGACCTTGCCTTCTAGTTTGAATTGAGTCTTTGTCCGTTCGAGTTGACGCTCAAGCCTTTCAAGTAGTCTCTCGCGATCAAGGATGCCTCTCATTTGAGTTGGATCAGTTTCACCAAGTTTGTTTTCGGCTGCTTGTTTCTTCGCATTCGAAGCAGCAATATCTTGCGCATCACGAAGCATGAGGTACAATTCACGAGTCTCCAGCTCATTTCGCTGCAATTCTTGTGCTCGAAGACGGTGAACATCATTGAGCTCAGATTTGAGAGACTCATTTTGGCGGCGTTGCAATTCAAGAACACCGGCTTGTTCCTCAATCTGCTTTTGTAACTTCTTGACTAGACCGTCCGCTCCGAGTTCGATCTGTGCCTTCATTTCATCGCGCTCAGCAATGGCGGCTTCTGCGACCTGGCGAGCCTCCAAAGATTCATCGTATGCATGTCTAGCCTCGGCGTCTGTATGCAACTTATCCAGCAAGTTTTGCACTGTGAACGTCAAGCCCTGGCGTAGGTCCAGATCTGGCAACCGCCGATCCATAGCAACGTAGCTAAGCATGGCTTCGACCAATTGAAACATACGCAGTCCATCATCGCCTGCAGAATTCTCCCGTATAAGAAGCATATGCTGCATTGCAGAGAGAAAGTAATCTCCGGCTCGTGTCCCTCGTAGCTTCATGTTGATTGCGTCAGTAATCTGCGCAGGATCGCTCATGTCCTTGACTTCCCCTTCAGCACTGTCTTTGGCGCTACTAGCTTCACGTTGCAACAGGTCTTCGTAGTCGATGGCCTCATTTTCTCGGAATCGCTCAATCTGTTTGTCTATGATCTCGTATTGAAAACCCTCCATCTTCGTCAATAGACGCTTGATACCACACGAGATGAACTGAGCCCGGATGTGACATCGTAATTGCAGATCGTATTGCGGCGCATCTACAAGCATGTTGATCATCATCATCGTCGCAAGGGCGTATTCCATAAGCTGATTCTCCATGCCTACACCTCCGCTGCGAAACTCTTCACTTGCGCCGACCAAACTGCCCATCTTGCCGCGGCCGTCGATAGTCACCTCAACGATACGCATCCAGGCATCAAATCGACCTGTTTCCCCATTATGGTTCTTGACATGATCCATTGCTTGCAACACTTTTTGATGGCCTTGACCATCGCCCCAATGGCAGAGAAAAGTGAGTACATCGCTGACAATCCTTCGAGTTTGCAGTCGAGGCGACAGAAGTGAGCTGACCAGCGCAACAATAACTTGTTGGTGTGCAAGAGCATCGTCGGCGCCATATTTGTTGTTCATCAAAGCCTTCAAACATTTGGTAATGTCGTATTCACGTTCAAGATCTTTGTCGGCGCCTGAGACCACAGGCCCTGGTCCAGCAGTCTTGCGGCGATTGATTTTTAGTAACACATTTGTTAGAGCTACCTGACCTTGAGCTTCAACAAAAGCTTTGACCCAGCTGTGGTTGTTAGCGTGTAATATAGTGCTAATAGATAGTAGACTTACCTGATGGGCTGCGTCCGCAGACTGACACTCAAACTGCCCAGTTGTTTCGAAGTGATCGTATCATCCATCACTTTTTTAACATACCACTCCGGGCTTCCCTCCTCATCGGCTCTACCAATGACTGAATGAGAGCCACTGTCGTAGCCGTGAGTGAGCCGGGCATTGTGGCGTCGCTTCTGCTCTCCTTGAAGCTCGGTCAATCGATCTTGATGAACAAGGGTCCATTTTTTAGAGGCAGGATATGCAAGCATCTGTCTTTTGGCTTGTTCCGGTAAGTTCTGCCAACCTCGTTTTTGCATTAATTCGAGAAAAAGCTGGTCGACCATGCGATCGTCCTTTGGCCGCGACAGATAATCTGCAGACGCTACAGACGATATTGATGGAGAGGGGGTGACGGCATTTTGAGATGGCCAAGATCCTTGGGCGTTTGAATAGCGACTGCCACTGCGATCGCCCCCGGAATATGAGGTGGTGAGGGTGCGGGAGGAATTGCTGTCGGAGAAATATGAGGTTCGTGTGGCGGATGATGACTGAGAGGAATGTATGCTGGTCTGATCGAGCGAGATTCTTGAAGCGGAAGACGAGTCTCCTGAAGCGTAACTGCCAGAGGCAAAGGTAAAGCCATTATTTGCTGCGGAGCTACCGGGTCTCCCCCATTGTTGGTACCTAGTGCCGCGGTCTCCTGTTGAACTGCTCGTCATTGTCAAATTCGAGGCGTGCGGCGGCGGCCGAGGAGCGCTGACCGAGGGCGTAACGGAGTTGTGTGAGGATGTAGATTTTGAGTCCCAGGCTGGATACTGGTGATAATCGGCGTTGGACTTTGCAAGATGATTGGGAGAGGGCTCTCGACGAGCGCTTGATTCTTGTTTTGGTAAATAGTCAACGGGTATGGGAGTTCTGGAGTCTGAGGGCATATTATCAAAAGGTATTGATGTGATTATGCCAGCGTTCGAATTCAGAGCGGCGACAGCGGCGGCATTGGATTCGTCCGCGTCAAATGAACCGATAGAGCCTCTTGTCGAATATCGCGAACTGCGAGACCCAGCTAGACTGCCTGTGATTGACTGTGTTTCCGCGTTTGTCGAATTCAACGAGACTGCATATCCGTCATCTGTTTGCCTCTCCTTGTATAATTTTCTGCCAAAGAACGATTTGCTGGAGTTGCCCTGTCTTGGTTTCTCTGGAGCTGTGGTGGGCATTGTGATAGCGGCGGATGCTTGGAAGACAGCATGGGCGTTGATTCAGTCGCTCAATTTCCCCTCTTGATACAGTCCTCGGTTCGATAGGTGTCGTCGAAAAGTGCGGGAATACGGCAGCGTCTGTTGATTCTGGTGCGAGAGGACTCGGAGATGATCAAGCGAGTCGGGTGCTTGTCGTTATTCAGTTGTTTATCCCGTCGTGCTAGTTAGTCGACTAGTCAGCTAGCCAGAGCACGTCGTATCGTCGTTCGTAGATCCCGTAGACCGAGACGGGGCTCGACCGGAATGCCAGGACCTCGGACTGCTGTCTGGCTCGGTTCGTGTTCTCGAGCAAGCAGACGTATGTGATGTCGAGGCTCAAATAGTGAGCGCTCACAGAGTCTGGCGTGAGATGCAAAGAAAGCAGACAGTGCGACGCTGTCCCTCAGAAGGAGGTCGCCCAGCTCTTTCGGGTTAGCCTGGCTGTGTCGCTACAGCCAATCAGCACACATGACGCTGCTTCTTCAGGGGAAGGAGTTCCGAAATAGCCAATCACACTGACCATTCAACCCTATTATTTGACGTTTTTTTTGACTCAATGGCAGTCTCTGTCAGAAAGTGATCTTGAAAGATTTGTTAGAACTCGTATCGAGTGTCTGAATGGGCCCTTGTTATCATAAACGATCTTGAGACGGGCATGGCCCTGTTTTGCCAACGGTTGGCCCTAGGCACTCAACTTATTCCACGTCCTATTGTTGGGATCAACTACAAAGATCCATTCATGTCTTTTCTTTTGTCTTTTCAATACGAGTTTGTTGAGTATCTTGAACACGTCATTTACAAATCTTTGCCATTCCGAATGCTATTCAGGCACCTACGCACCGTAACTCGACGTACCAGTTGACAGCTGTGCTTTTATCGAGCTCCTAGTTTTGCCTTAGGTGATCTAATACTCTCGCGGTCAGGAACATGACCCTGGATATATTTGTTGAATCTCAAATAAATTCCTGCTAAGTTGGATAAATAATACATCTTCTAACTTAAAGGGATTCCAAGAACATTCAACCTGACCGTGAGGGCTTGCTACGTAGAGTTATCCAAGATACCCTAACCCTTATCTAACTTACTTGATCCGCCTTGATAAGCCATAAGGTTGAGTACCCCTGGATTCGTTGTCTTTCAGAAAGCGAAGATAAAGCGAGATCAGACTTGGCGGAAATCTACGTTACGAAACTCCCTCTATTGAAGCAGAAATGTACCTACATTTCAATATTTCACAGCCCGTCCTATATGGACCACGCAGTGTTTATGTATCTTATCGCGCCTGTTCAGGAAGGCGGTAGACTAATCCCAGTCCGGCGTGCTGACGAGGCCTGTTCGTACTTGCTTCACTTTCTCTTTCACTCCGATCTCGACCTTTGACATGAGTGCTACAGTCTCTTAGTACACATAATCATGAAATGAACCCCGTTTCCCTCGATATACAACTATCGGGGCGACAATAACAACTTACACTAACGACAACCGGCGCCAAACATCGCAACCATGGGCTCCTCATTTGACATGTTCAAGGTACGTCCCTCTCTTCCCCTTCAAACAAACCTTTATCCAGCACTTACCAACGGAAAATTTATGATAGACGCTCATACTCCCCGCCGCCATCTCCCTAACCATCTACCTCCTCCTCAGCTACATCCTGCTCCCCTTCTTCCGGCGCTACCGCCAACGCTACGCAAACTACCTACCCATAAGCGCCATCTCCGCGCAGACGCTACCCATCCGCGAACGCATCGCCGATAGTCTAATGCACTTCTTTCTGCCATCTGCGTCGTGGCGGCGACGACTAGTCGTTCCGCGGTTCATGCGCCGGCGCTTGTCGACCGCTTCTCTGGCAGACGACGATAATGACTCTGACGACGAGTCGATAGATCACAATAGACCTGACAATCACGACTCGATAAGCATATTCGACGAAGAGGGGGAGAACATGGCGGAGATGAACATGTCAGCCTCGAGAAGAGAGGTGTTGGAAGCCAGGAGGAGCTTTGCGGCTGATCAGGTTCGATTAAGTCGGGATTTGGAGGAGGGGTTTATGGATGATAGTGACGATGACGACGACAATTTTTCGAATTCTGGGCAGGGGAGGAGGCGGTGATGAGAGGTCAATTTATATATTTATTAAATTAGATATAGGGATATAAGACTATTATGAAACCCCCTTTTACATGCTATGCCATCGTTGAATTCATTAGTTATCATTCTGGATAATTATCATATCACACTTCCGCCTAGAGCGTATGGTTGGTGATGATGTACGGGTATCATGTTCTGGCTGTGGTATGGAGACGGTATGACCATGTTCGGAGGTAAGTCGAGGACGTGATCTTCATGAGCATGTCCGTGACTGTGTAGATGTGGATGTGCATGATGCGGTAGATAGTTGAGGTGCGACTGAATATCGAGACTGCGCTCGTGTGTCGTTGGGATGTAATAGGAGTATTGGACTGCTGCATTCATTAGCTGTCATTCTTCCAGATAGAGACTTATAAGAGACTAACCAGGCATCTGATGCATAAGCAGCTCTCCATTCTCATACTGATGAGGTTCAGTCTTGAAGCCCGACAGGCTTCCCTCGTAATGACTCGTCGATAGACTACTGCACGAACTATATGGCGTCTCTGGCGTGGCTGTGGGTAGTGGTGGACTAAACAGGCCCTCTAGAGGCACCTCCCAATATGAAGATGACGAGCCCGGAGGAACGGACAGAGATCGTTCGGTGGTCGCATCATCACTGCCTAGTAACTGGTCGTGTAAATGTAGATGCATCTCCGGATTTCGGGTTGGTAGGTTAATGTGTTGTTGTGGGATGATGATACTCGGTGTTCCCACGGCTGATAGAGAGGGTGATAATGAGCTCGGAGTTAGTTGTGGAAGTGGCGACTGCACTGATGTGAATTGTTGTTGTGGTTGTTGTTCTTTTTTTATTGTTTTGGTGATCTTTGTCGCAGGTTTGCTTTCCCTCTTGCGCTTTCGGGTGAGTTGTCGATGCCTAAATTATTAGCTCCAAGTCTTCTTCATGTGGAGAGAAGATACATACCGATTCTTTGCATCCAGACCCGTCCGGCCGGGAAAGTAAGTGTCGACAATCATTTTCCAGGCTCGTCCATACTCGCCGATTGCGAGAAGGAGGATGCGATCTTCCTCTCGGGTCCAGGGGCTGCGATCAATAGCTGGATCTAGGACGTCGTTCCACCGTTTGAAGCATTCTTCAGACATAATTAGATGAGTGCAAAGATAGAAAAGACGGGTGAGAACATACGATCACCATTCCTAGTGCCCACAACTTGTGCAACGCGAGACCAACTAAATCAATCAGTATACGTTCGAAACCGTGTATTTGTAGGTGTCTTACTGTGTCCCATGACGATGAATACCCATCTTCAGCAATTCGTCCTCACTCTGCGACCAAGGTCCCAGATTCATGGTGGCAGACACACGATAGTGCCATCGTTTGCGACAGTCTTTGTTATTTCGGCCGGGCAGATAGGAGGCAATAACGCGCCAGTCGACTTTTCCTTTTTCTATACCGAGTGACGTTAGTATATAATGTGCCAGAAAGTGAAAGGGGGCTTACCACAAGACTCAACCAACCTCCTGAGGGTGTTATCCTCCTCGACACTCCACAGATTACGAGATCTATTCATCTTCTCCGTTCGATGTATGGTGTATGAAGAGTATGTAGGTGTGAGTAGAGTCTGACAGCAATCTGGTGAAGCGGGGCATAGCAGATCTTTTAAATTAATCCCCAAGCTCTGTCGGGTCTTTCCAGGGTTCTTAGCCTCCCAGCTTGTCAGAAAAATTAAACGTGCTGTAGCTCAGCCTGACCAGGCTGTACTCAACACGACTGGCGGCTTCTGGGGCTTGAGAGCCGATCTGCAAGCCTTACCATTGGCTGTACGCCGTAGATACAGAAATTCAAAGGTAAAAAGTAAGAAAGTTACAGACAGAACGAGAAGAAGAAAAAAGAAAATAGAATTCATCGTTCGTATGTAGAGTAGGCTAGTATGGAATTCAAGTCATCATCATCATGTGTTGCACGCGGCTCGATTTGCCTCCATTTCTCCTCAGGCGAGGTGCATGAGGATGGGCCATGCCATGCCATGCCGTCCATCGTATGCATGCTAGCAGATGCTAAAACATGCAAATGCATCGAAGCGACTGCCATGAGCCAGACAGAACTCACCACGGCCTCGCCGATGCGTCAAGTCTGGAGACACAAGGATAAGAACAAGGCCAATAGGAATGGGAGCCATCAAGGTGGGAAGGGATGACAGGCATTGCTTTTTCCGTCATCAGGACCTAGAGGAGTCAATAAGGCTAGTACGTTACTAGACACAGGGTTAAGAGCTGTCAGATCATCTCCGGTCGACCAGGTGGGACACTGGGATAGGAACGATCTGGCTCGGAGCGAAACGCTAACAGGGCCATGTCACTGCGAGTGGACACGTCCAAGACCTCGCTGGACGCAACCAGAACGGGAAAGGAAAATATCAGCCTCATGTGGATGCCCAGTGAAGGCAGAGAGGACAGAAGAGAAGAAACTAAGAGCTTGGACGACAACTGAAGAAGGTCAAAATTAGCGAGCCGCTCAGCTCGTATTGTGTAATTACGCGTATTACCCCATGATACATAGTACTGCTCTACCGATCGATGATCGATGTGCTGCCCAATGCCCTGGAGCCACGGGGATCGGTTGTGCCGAACGAACAGGCCCAATCCTATGCTAGAACGAGCCTGGGATAATATTAGACCCTTAATGCACGATTGATGACTTCAGAACCAATTCAATAAGAGGCTGAATAATACTCCATGGAGTAGAACTTACTTCGTTACAATAGCGGATCGATACATCCCGTATCGTCATGACAGTAATACACTGCCGGTAACAATACCACTCGAAATAAGCTTATTCCGCAGCCCCAGGCTAGTAACAGTACAGGATAAATACCGTATTGCTTACGCGTCTGTCCTACACTGTACTCATCTTGTTCCTCTGGGGTCATCTTTTTCCATTCACCGCACCCTTACACAAGATTTCGCTTACACTGCCTCGCAGTCCGATGGAATCGATCTGAGGACAAGACGAATCGAATCACCTACCTGAAAAAGAAAGAAAAGAAAAAAAGGAAAAGAAAAAAGAAAGTCCATGAGACAAAAAACAGCTCGTGGCGGATGCAGTTAGTCTCGTTTACCGATACTCTGGATCATCAGCCTAGACCAAAGACACATCCCAGTCAGTTGTTGCGAGCAGTACTATTTTTGTATGCATGCAGCGTGCATCTTCCAATGAAGACCATTCCCACGCGAGAGTAATCTCGCTAAAGTCTAGAAGACAAAAGAAAAGAAACTGAACGGTCCGTGGAATTTCAATTGTGTTTGATCTCGAGCGAGTAGATATTGGTCAGGGCAATGACACGAGCTTTGTCGCTTCGACTTACCTCGTCTCCTTGCTTCCATAATACTCACTACGTATGATATGATATTCTCGGTCAAGCAAGGATTCGCCACGCTGCGGCTGATCTACAGGGCCTCGTGAACTGAAGGTGTCTGGCTGTACCCTCGTGCATGATTCTAGACCGGTGTACTACTTCCTTATTGCGTATTTTATCATACGTCCTACCTCGTACGTAGGTATATTGATCCCCCTCCTCGGGATTTGATGCTGAGTTGGTGCGGTTTGTTAGATTGAATTTGCAACTTGATACTGCATTTGGCAGTGGAGGGGGCACTGGTCCCCTTCTGGCCATTCACGCTTTACTTAATGCATGTTTAGCATTATACGTAGTTAGGTTAGTACCAGCAGACAAGCACTTTTGGTATACCATGATCGTCGCCTACGTAAGCCACTTTATACGAAGTCTATGCATTCCATGCGGCAAGACTGAAGAAAGCCGAATACGTAGCTCAAATTGGTATCATACATACATATAGATAGTTTTCAAAGTAATACATTCACCTGACTCTCTTTTTTTTTTACACACCAATCGCGTTCTTGACCCAATTCTCCAAACCCCCCTTGGCTATAATCTCCTGCACATTAGGAGGCAGCTCGCCCACCCGATGCGTCCATGTCGTGCCATCGTGTTCCGTGACCTCGATCTGACTACGGCGCACGTCCCAGGTCAGTGTCCAGCCCGTTCGGCGCGTAAGCGTCTTTCCATCGCCAAAACTCTCCCGCAACCGCTCCACGAGTCTAGGCACCTCCAATCCCATAAGCGCATTATTAATACTGTTGCGCGAAAAGATGTTTCCAAAACTACCAGACACGACCAGCGGGATCTTCTTGGCCAAAATCGCGGTTGCGGCTTGTTCACGCGAACTGCCGCAGCCGAAATTGAAGCCGGATACGAGGATATCGCCTTCCTTGACAACGCCAGCAAATGACGGGTCGTAATTGGACATGCACACTTGCGCCATGGTTTCGACGGGCACATTGTCTTGGTAAGTGTATTTGCCGGGGTAAATGCCATCGGTGTTGATGTTGTCTGCGTCACAGAACACGATTTCGCCCGATATACGTTCTGGGAAGCCCGGGTACAATTCTGTCAGAGATCCAGCGTCCTTTTCTTCCGGCTCTGTCTTTTGCTCGGACAATCCAAATTTCTCTTCGCCGTCCGCAATGAGGTTATCGAGTTGTCCAATGACCTTCTCCAATGCCTCTTCGGCAGTGAGCATGCGGTCTTCCTCCTTGATACCATCTCCCTCACCCCGGATCACCCCAGTCCATCCCTCTGGTTGCTGATACCAACCAGGTCCCTTGAGAAGACCAGACAAGGCGCTGGCAGCTACCACTTCGGGGCTGCCAAGGTAGGCCTTCGCATCAGTACTACCCATACGGCCTTTAAAGTTACGGTTGGAAGCGCTAATACCAACTTCACCAGGCTCCAAAAGACCCGTTCCTAACCCAATGCAGGGTCCACAACCAGCGGGGAGAGCCTCGGCTCCAGCATCTAGTAGGACCTGCCAGTCACCAGCATCTTCCGCCACTTGCTGTTCAGGCAAAGACGCGGCAGCAATATAGAACTTGACTCCGTCTGCGATCTTGGGCACTTTACCCCCATTAGCTTCAGCAGCTTCTCTGAACACGCGTGCAGCAGCGGCAATGTCAGATGCACGTGAGTTGGTGCATGAAACAAGATACGCCTTATTAACCTTAATATTCTGAGCCTCTAATTCGCCAATCGGAGTGGCGACTTTGACCGAGTTGGGGCCGGACACGTAGGGCGACAGAGAAGACAGATCCAAAAACAGTTCCTTGGCGTATTTCGCACCCCTATCCGCGGTCAATGCGTTGCTAAACAGCTCTTCTAACCGGTCGTGTGTGAATCGTTGTGCAGCATGGGTTTTGTAGGGTCCGTCAGCTAGCCCCATGGCTGCTGTAGTAGCTTTGCCTCGTAGCCAGCCTTTTAGTACGTCGTCGATAGGGAATAAGCCGGACAGAGCACCCCATTCTGTAGTCATGTTTGCAATCGTGAGGCGGTCATCAACCCGGAGACTGCGCATTGTCTCTTCAGAGCCGGTGAATTCAATCGCGTGGTTGAGAACGTCGTCTTTGCCGAATAAGTGGCATAGAGCGACGATTACATCTTTTCCAGTAACTCCGGCAGGTAGAACTCCGGTGAAGTGCTGCCATAAATTCATTAGCGTGTGCCAAAAGCCAAATCAAAATACACGTACCACTCGTGCAATATTAGGAACCTGCCACCACGTCTTTCCAGTCGCCCAGATACTAGCTCCGTCGGTACGCACAATAGGCGTTCCCAAGCACCCAACACCACCATACATATTACTATGACTATCAGACGCAACAACCAGAGTTCCCGGCCATGCGAAACCTTCCTCAACCATGATTTGATGTCCAATACCTCTTCCGGCAGGATAGAACTCAACTCCATGGTGTTGGGCAAATTCTTCGATTTGTCGGTACTTTTGCAGGTTCTTGTCGGTCTTGTTTTGCACATCGTGATCCAAGGTCATGACAATCTGATTTGGGTCGTGTAGCTTAGAGGCACCGATAGACATGAACTTTAGCGCCACGGGCCACGAATTGTCGTGAGTCATGCAACGATGAGGGCTGATGGTCACATAATCGCCAGCCTTGACAAATTTTCCGGCTGCCAATCCGACGGCATACTTTTGTACGATTTTCTCGGTCAGGGTCTGCGGAACAGTTGCATTAGATTGCATCGACGATAAGATGGCCGAGACCTCGGGGTTGTTCAATTGCGTGTGGAAAACATCTTGGGAGAGGGAGGATCGAGACGAGGCGAAGGATCGGATGGCAGTGCGTAGTGAGCGCTGGTGGAGCGTCACGCGCCTGCTTAATGAAGCGTGGAACGGCATTCTATATTATATCAGTGTGAAAGAAACACAAGGCGAAAACATGGAAATACCTAAGTTTGCGGTGGACAAATGAAGAAGCGTGCAATTCCAATCAAGTTAAATTTGTTTCTGGGGATCGGGCCGATCATGACTCAGCGCCCGGCCTTCTACCCGGTATCGGATGATTTGTGCCGAGGAACGTTCGTACAGTATATTCATAGTGATCAAAGACTAACTCCATGCCATGCTATAACTAAAAGGATGCTATATGTACATCTCACAACTTCCAAATCTCCCAGTCTTGGACGCCAACCTGCTGGATAAGTCCTTTAACAGGCCCTTGAAGCTCATACCCATGCGCCCACACTTTTGGACCAGCCATGTAATTGATGAATCCTTCGGGACCAGAAATGATAATCATTTTCTTCGTGTTAGGAGAAGGCTGTATAGAGTCAATGTATGCCTTGATCTCTTTAGTGCTGATGAATGTGTGTTCCTCGTCAACAAAGTAGTCAACAGAAATTTGACCAGGATAGCGAACTTTGAGGTCCTGTAGCTCACGAACTATAGCATTTTGACTGATTTGCGCCGGGCTGGTTTCAAGGGCGCTGTTAGGCCTGGTGATTTCCTTCTGAATTGGCCACCACCATGTTGACTTTTGTCGTGATATATTGGCCGTGTCGCTGACACCCCCTGCGCAATCTTCTCGTTTCCTGTTAGCCCACAAAATGTGGATCTTAGGCCTTCTTCCATCCACAGCACGTCTGAATATAATATAGGCAGCCTGCAAGGCGGGAGCGATTCCCGTTCCACCGGCTATAAATAATATATCGTTCACTTCCGGGTCAATCTCGCACTCTATTTGCGGGCCTCTCATTTCAATACTGGCGCCTCGTTGTAGAGTGTGTAAATACCGAGACACCTCTCCATGCGGATCCCGACGAATCAGGAATCGCAACGATTCTTTCGCATCTTCGTTCGCATCGTCAACCGGTGGAAGCGGTGTGTAGTCTCGCCCAATTTGCAGTTGTGGTTGTTTGAACATCACGCTCCATACTCCCGTCTGCCATGCTATTTCGTATGTCTCGTGATTGTCTGCCGACGCCGCTGGCTCGAGTGTGAATATACTATTTGTTGACGAGACTTGTTCTCTCGACACCAATTTGTACCGCGCAAATGTCAACGGATTCAAATTGGCGTCCAAGGTGTCCTGTCGTGATCTGAGGTAGGCTCCAATTGCGGCAGCTGTCAACGTGACCGCTGTTAAGCGAACCCATACCCGCCTTTTTGGGGTTGACGATGCGGCTGTAGAATAATTGCGAGATGCGACGGAGGATGACGGTCGGGGAATATGGTGCGGGAGTTTGAGCGTCCTCCAGTGAGGACACCGCGTAGAGACAAGCATCGTGAGCTGCCGTTCTGGTCGATCAATATATACAGGAAGCCATGATCAGCCAAAGTGTTGAATGGAATGGACCAAAAGGTTGAGCGGGACGGCAAATCACTCGAGCTTGGCGCCTTCCCTGCGGAGCCGCCATCTCTGGCGCATAATTGGATCAAGGACGATCTGATTATTGCCCCCTTGCTCGTGCTTTGTTTTCACATTCAAGAATTTACTCTCATCAAATCTCTTTCATTCACACGACTGCAATATCGAGGTTTCCAATTACGAGATCACTTGGACTCTGGAACCAAAGACGGTTGATGTTATCTGGCATGGCGACGGTTCACTTTCCATAAACTTCGAGACTCGATAACCGCCAGAAATGTCTCCTGTGACGTTTTCTGCAGAGAGACAGGCTCTCAACGGCCAACCACCGCGCGATTCCCTCGAGCTTGCCTCGCTCGCTTCGTCCGACGCTGGCTCTGCCGGGCGATCCTCATACGAATCCTCGCGATCAGGCATCTCTTCGTCCCGGAGATTGTCCCTAGAAGCCGACGACCCATTATCCGAACAAAGGGGCTTGGGAACAAGTCGCACACGACCGAACCGTTCTTATTCTGTATCGTCTGCCTTTGACTTTGGCAGCAACTTATTCCCCCTTTCGCAAACCGCTGGCGGCTATGCTCCCCTCGGCGCACCTTCGGTAACTTCATTGGAACGGTATGCGGGGCTTCGCGACGCCTCGTTGGAAAAGCACAAGTCCTTGACTTACCTCAATGGACTATCGTTGATTGTTGGTTTGATCATTGGTTCGGGTATATTTTCGTCTCCGAGTCAGGTCAACTTCAATGCTGGGTCGCCAGGCGCAGCTTTGATCGTGTGGGCGCTGGCAGGTGTCTTGGCATGGACAGGCGCAGCTAGCTACGCAGAACTGGGAGGAGCGATTCCGTTGAACGGTGGGCCGCAAGTCTATCTGTCTAAGATCTTTGGCGAGATGATGGGATTTCTGTTTGCCTGGTGCGCGGTTTTCGTACTTAAACCAGGTTCCGCAGCAATTATAGCCATCATATTCGGCGAGTATGCCGTAAGAGCCTTTATCGGAACCGAAGTGGAAACGATCAGTCCGTGGATCAACAAGGGTGTAGGACTCGCTGGCGTTTTGTTTGTGACGATCCTCAACTGCGCGTCGACGAAGCTTGCTACCCTTGTTGGAGATATCTCCATGTTTTTCAAGTTCGGCGCACTGCTCGCAGTCACAATCATTGGAGTCATAGTCGCCATAACGGGCATATCGTCAAAGGGAGAGGCCAATCAAGATTGGAAGAATTCCGGCTGGTTCGAGGGGACAAGCACAGACATCTCTGACTGGGCTGTTGCGCTATATGCAGGGCTGTGGGCATTCGACGGATGGGACAATGTAAGTCTGTTCATTTACAAAGGTGAGGCAAATCTGACTTTGAAAGACAAACTACGTGACCGGCGAGTTTAAGAATCCGAACCGTGACTTGCCACGTGCAATACACACAGCAATGCCTGTGGTGATTGTTTGCTATCTCATGGCCAATGTCTCTTACTTTTTTGTTCTGCCACAAGCAACGATAGCCAAAAGCAATACAGTGGCTGTTCAGTTTGGCGCCAAAGTTTTCGGCCCAGTCGGAGCACTCGTTCTAGCCCTGGTGGTCTCCGGAAGTTGTTTAGGAGCTCTCAACGCGACGTGCTTCACAAGTGGCCGTCTTGTGTATGCTGCGGGAAAAGAGGGCTATCTCCCAGCCATGTTTGGAAAGATTGGCTTTGGAAAGTCTAGCAACAATATTACGGGCAGTCGATTGCAGCGTCGGTCATGGTTCCACAAGGCGTTTTCCTGGCTATGTGGAGGAAGCGCAGCTATCGGCTACACTCCAGTGAATGCTATGCTCTTCAACGCTGCACTCACTGCAGCGTATGTTGTCGTCGGAGAATTCGGCACGTTGATTACTTTCTATGGTGTGGCGGGATACACATTCTATTTTCTCACGGTTCTTGGGTTGATTGTCTTACGGATACGAGAACCGCATTTGGAGCGACCTTACAAGACATGGATCACGACGCCTATTATCTTCTGCTGCGTCAGTCTATTTCTTCTCAGCAGAGCTGTCATCGCGGAACCTCTTCAAACACTGATTGTCGTCGGCTTCGTGGCAGCTGGGGTTCCTGCTTACTTCTGGATGATGTACCGACGGGATGGGACTATCAAATTGCCGAATTGGAAGTTCTGGCAAAAACGATAGGCTTCATACCCGACATTTGAGGATGACTCAAAACTACAATTTTTAATCATGTATAATTACTATTCTTGTCTATCGTTTGAGCTGCAGTGTTATTTGATGCATCCCACAGCGAGGTGGGCACGGTGTTATATAGCGATTGAGCGAGGACGTGACGATCAGAGCTGTATGTCTATGTTTAGATGATAATGTTAATAAATTAATCATATACTTGAGCAGATTCGATCAAGTCTTGAATGTAATTTATATGGCATCTGATCCTAGAGCTCCCGCACGGACCACCACTTAAGTATCCAACGCGTCCCGCTCTTTTTCGCGTTCACGCTACCTGGACCTCTGCCATCTCCAAGACAATCACCTGAGAAAGCAACAACACAAAGTCAAGAGCCTACACAACAGATCAATATGGTTCAAGCAGAATCATCCAAAGCTGCAGCCCGCAATGGTCTCCATGCTTCCACAGCCGGAGCTCCCCCCGACTACGAGCTTCCCTGGTATGTTCCCTCTCCCCTCTATGTGAACTGCCCAAACTAATTACGAAAAGGGTCGAGAAATACCGCCCCGTCTACCTAGATGACATCGTCGGCAACACCGAAACGATCGAAAGACTCAAAATTATCGCCAAGGATGGAAACATGCCTCATGTTATTATCTCAGGCATGCCGGGTATCGGAAAGACGACTTCTATTCTGTGTCTTGCGCGACAGATGTTGGGCGATGCATACAAGGAGGCTGTCCTGGAGTTAAATGCGAGTGATGAGCGTGGTATTGATGTGGTGCGCAATCGAATAAAGGGGTTTGCGCAGAAGAAGGTTACGCTTCCTGCGGGACGGCATAAGCTTGTTATTCTTGATGAGGCGGATAGGTTTGTTGTCTAAACTCGTGATGAAGCAGCAACTCGTTTAAGCTAACTTTCAACGTAGTATGACGCCTGGTGCTCAGCAAGCTCTCCGCCGTACCATGGAAATCTACTCGACAACAACCCGTTTCGCATTTGCCTGCAACCAATCCAACAAGATCATCGAGCCTCTCCAATCCCGTTGCGCTATTCTCCGCTACTCCCGTCTGACAGATGGTCAAGTCGTGAAACGTCTAAGCCAGATATGTGAAGCCGAAAAGGTCGAGTTCTCGGAAGACGGCATTGCGGCGCTCGTATTTAGTGCGGAGGGTGACATGCGTCAAGCAATCAATAACTTGCAGAGTACATGGGCTGGTTTTGGGTTTGTGAGTGGGGATAACGTCTTTCGAGTTGTCGATAGTCCGCATCCGATTAAAGTACAGGCTATGATTAAAGCTTGTTGGGAGGGGAAGGTGGATTCTGCCTTGGACATTCTGAATGAGTTATGGTACGTTAATCGTCAGACTGCTGAATGAATCTTTTCAATACTGATTGCAATATAGGAATCTGGGCTACTCTTCGCACGACATCATTAGCACCATGTTCCGTGTTACTAAGACCATTCAGACACTATCCGAACACGCTAAGCTCGAGTTCATCAAGGAGATTGGATTCACACACATGCGCATCTTGGATGGCGTGGGCACTTTACTGCAATTGAGTGGCTGTGTCGCGAAACTGTGCAAGATCAATATGAAGCCAGAGCTATTTACGCCCAATTGAGTAAAATATGTGGTGTTGTGCATTTAACGGCGTTCTGTGGTAGGCATCTTGCTCTGGCGTTACTGTCTGGTTCCATTCCATTAAAAATTTATACAATTATGATGACCTTTTTCAATGCTTTGGCATGTTTGCTATAGACACTATACATTTGGATGCATGTACTAAGTACTGATCATAAGGGCTAGGCTTAGGGCTAATTCCAAGTTACTCCGCGGAGCATCTTCCTCGCTACCTAGCATATACATGTACCTTATATTGAAGAAGATCCGATCATGTTACTAGTCTTAAGGATCTCCCAGGTTACCTAGGTCATGATATTTATTGTTCGGAGTATTCACACAGGGTTTGCAGCAATATTGAGTGGTCTGTGGTTCAAAAATGGGGATCGATTCCATGACGTGCCATTGAAAATCAGAATAAGGCTCACGGGTTCCCTTCTGAAATAAATCATCTACACTAAAGCCCAAATCCACGTTACCACATGTGCAGCACTGAGCATCTGTCTTCCATGTCGCAAAAGACTTCCTTTGCCCTCATCACGGGCTGTAGCAGTGGAATCGGAAAAGAGCTCGCAATCGCATTTGCGAACCGTGGAATCACGGTTCTCGCGACAGCACGACGCACCGAATCCCTCCACGAACTAACAAGCAAGTACGACAGAATCGAAGCTTTTGCCCTGGAGCTCAACAATCTCGCAAGCATTGACAATCTCAAGGACGCTGTATCTGAGCGCACTGGCGGCCGCTTGGATTTCCTGATCAACAATGCAGGAACACACTACGCATCGACAGCAGTAGATCTAGAGATAGAAGAAGTTACCAAGCTGTTCACAGTCAACCTCTTCGCCGTCATGCGCCTCTGCCAGGTATTCGTGCCGCTTCTTCGTCGGTCAAGTCGAGGACGAATCGTGCAGATCGGAAGCGTGACGCGAGACATACCCGTCGTATGGCAAGCGGCGTACAATGCATCCAAGGCTGCACTCAGCCAATACACCAAGACGCTCCGACTAGAAGTGAAGCCGTACAATATAGATGTTATCGAAATCGTGACCGGGTTCGTGCGTAGCAACATTTTGCACCACGGACTGTACGCCCCAGAGACATCGTCTTACCTTGCGATAAAGAATACTGTTGAGAAAATCAAGTATCAAGGCAATCGAAACGGCATGTCGCCCGAAGCATATGCCAAGTCGGTGGTCGCGAAGTTGATCCGAACACAAGTCAGCCCGGAGATATGGGAAGGGGCTCTGGCGCAATCTCTCCGCTGGCTTGCTGTGCTTTTACCACTACGGCTATTGGTAAGTATGCCACTTATCTCGTTTACAGTAGGATCGGAACTGACAAGACTGAAAGAGTTGGATTTTATACCGAAGATTCGAGCTCGCCCGTGTAAAAGCACGATTAGATGATGAAGCACATCAGGAAGATCAGACACGTAGGCAAGCTTAGATGAGGTCGGCTTCAGTCTTTGTATGGTATAGTTCAGTCCACGAAATTAGACTGTAGCATCTAGGCATTTAGAAGTAACCATGGAAAGGTGTCGGCGAAACATTACATACATAGAAAAGTTCCTCCGCGGAGGAACTCCATACCTGATAACATGATCTTCTACTTCCGTTCGACTCCTTCCTTCACTAATCTCCTTCTCGGGCAAGATTACAGTCTTTTGATTCTGTGAAGGCATCAAGGAAGTCCCCCTGGGCAAAGCTAGACCCATGCCGTTAAGAGTCTGCGATAGGTGCATCCGGTAAGGTGATCTCTTCTCCGCATTGAAAACCCTAGCTAAGATTGCTCAAGCAAGAAGACAAAGTGTATGCTCTTGACCGAGTCACCGCGACGCTTTACTAAACTTGGATAGGTAACCAGGGACGGCCAACCTGCTCTCGCTGCTTCGATCTCGGGGAGACTTGCAATTACACTTCGGTAAAGCGCAAACCTGGGCCCCCGATTGGGTCCCATTATACATCCAATTCGTCCAAGTCCCGCAGGTCTTCAGGTATGCTCAATTGACACTGTACACTAATATTCTATGTCTACTAATGATCAATGCAGTCCGTGATGTCCCAGCAGATGATCTTTCAGGGAACGAAACCGCTCATCCAGCCTCCGAGGGCTCTGACTTGATTGATCCATCTATATTGACGTCGCCCTCTACGACTACCAGTAACAAGACATCAGGGAGCATTAATCAACTTGCGAGCTACTCACGTTTCCCCCCGCAACAGGTAGAGTTTCTGTAAGCGCTATTTCTTATTCCTGAGGGTGTTCAAGTTGATCGAGCTAATACACTGCATGGCCCAGCCTCGCGGCCTACTTCGATCTGATACAAGATGCGAACCCTATCTTTTCCAAAGAACTCTTTCTTCAAAGCTACCAAAATTCCCTATGTAGCGAGGATCTCGTTTCAACGATAGTCATCATTACCGCGAAGCTCACTGGATTCACCGCAAATGAGGATGACTTGCTACCCGGTCTGGATACCGATCTGGATCTCTTGCTCAGTTCAAGTAAGTTTGAGGATGATCTGATCGGCGATGGCCCTTCACTAGATCAGTTTCGCAAAGCCTATCTTCTAGCATTCTACGAATTCCATCAATTTCCTGGTCATCAGTCATGGTTACGCGTGGGGAGAGTGACGCGCATGGCCTATCGTATTGGAATCGATCGCCTGGATCAAATCCGCATGCTCTATCCTGACTGGAGTATTCTAAGTGAGGAAGATATTCAAGAGTGGCGGTCACTCTGGTGGTGCATCTATCGCCTTGACTCTTATACCAACATCTCATCTGGGACACCGTATCTGATTGACGATACCGTCATAAGCACTTCGCTTTTTATAAATCACCAGACATCATCAGAGTGTGTCAATTCGCTTCGGGAGCTCTACTTACCACCCAATCCAGAAGACATATCAAAAGTGCTTCTCGCCGCCCGTTTAGCTTCAGAGACACTACTGAAGAATGTGCACAATATAGCGACAACCGTTCTGCGCCAGGCTGGTCTTGTCCTCCGCTTGCATTTGGTACGGTCCCAGGAAGGATTAATTGCGCATGTCACCAAACTTGAGCGGCAATTGGCAACGGTTCGCCTAGCTCTGCCAGCGGGCTGGCTCAATCCAAGACGCAACGCATTTCTGAACGAGTCCCATGCTGACCATCACGCAAGGACGGTTACTGTACTTCAGCTTCGAATGGCACAGCTACTTCTCTCACTCGCACAGCCTGGTCTGCGACAGGGTGACGAGTGGTTAGTAAGCTGGCAACGAGTCTATGAAGCGTGCCAAGATATTGCGTCGATTGCAGATCAATGGGATAGCTCGTTCTGCTTGAGTGTCGACCCAGCCATTTCCTTCACCATCTTCACGGCGTTGATCTTTCTGGATCTCCACAGAAAGACGCCGAATCTGACAGAGCACAGCATTGGGCCTGATATTGATCACCATATCAGCATATTGCATCTCCAACTCCAGCATTTTGGGAAGATATGGACGCTACCACGGCTTCTCATGTGTAAGTCAACGCCAATAGAGTAGTAACTCCCAGCTGATATAGACATATTATCCTTTGAAAGCTTTAGTCAGTCGGTTTGTGGACCGCTCTCCTATCACCAGATTGGTCTGATACTGTCGCGTTTTGAGGCACCTCTACATCCTAGGTGGTTGCAATTCTTATCGTCTGCCAACACTATTCTCGCGGACTACTAATAATACCGTTGAATTTATAATACAGTTACTTTTCTCCTAGAGTCCCAAGATCAAATCATATGAAAAGCAGTTTAGCTGATGTGGTAGCGATAAGTAGTGTTCGTGACGGATTGATGGCAGACCCACGTGGTGGCCAAGCTAAGCTGTCATACTCCGTAGCTTAGGCCAACCTCACTTCAACTTGAACAAGAACCCTCAAAACATCGAAATGATGGATAAGAGTAAATTCATTAAGATGTCATGAGTTGAAATGGTTCTCAATTTATCTTTATTAAATCACACTCCCACACGAGACGATGGCCACGCACGTCTCCATTTTCCTCGGCGCGATACTAACAACAATCACTCTCGCGGTAGACAACAGTTGGCACCCACCAGACCCCGGCGCCATCAACAATCTAGATCTAAATCTTGGGTCCGACGGGGTGTTTGATTTCATATTCGACACTTCCTTGACCCCCGACGAGCGATATGGCCAGTACAATTACTGCAACATGCCGCATGTGCGGAGACGGGAATACGTCGTTGCGCCGGCGGAGTATGAGCTTGTCTACGTTGAGATAGTATGTTCTATACTTTTTTCTAAATTTGGGGGGAAGAAAGAGAGAGAGAGAGAAAGAGAAAAAAAGCAAAGATTAATGCGACAATAGATTCATCGCCATCACAAAAGAACACCATATGAATCAAATACCTTCCCGGTGGAATATGATACATGGTACTGCGACGGCACTCAGCTCTACCACTACGGCCAACCCTCAGTCAGCCCGCAAACGGGCGCCAATACATACTGGCAAGTAGAAGAGACCAGTTCATTTGATTTATTTCCCGTTTCAGGGTTTCCCGGTACATGCGTCTTTCCACAGATCACTCGTAGCGGATTACAGGATTCATGGCAGCATGGTCGCGACATTTATGAGGTTTATCATGATCTTCTACGGTTCTTGCCAGATGATTTGGATCAGAAGAGGATGGAGTTTAGAGTTACGAACAATGTGATTACGAGTCAGGTTGCGGGCATGGTTGTGGGGGGGATGTATGGGGAGCAGGCGGCTGTGCCGTTGCATGTACAGGTTTGTTCAAAAGCGGATATTCGTCGTAAGTGTTGCTGATGAGACGTAGAAAGCGAGCTTTGACTCTCTAGAGCCCCAGTATTCTTGCCCTGGGGGCCAATCGCTCTTCAACAACATCAAAGAGCCTGATTCTGCATCCTCTGAACACTGGAAAACACATCTCGAAAAGACAAAAGAATTAATGGATGCTCTTGACGCAATCTCCGGCATCCCCTCGAATGCAGATGACTGGCACACCAGCTACGACCACTACTTTGACAATCTCTCTTCCCGGCTTTGTCATTCTAAGCCTCTGCCTTGCAAACAGCCGCCGCAATCAGACAACGAATGCATAACACGCCCTCAAGCAAACACCGTTTTCCGTCTGGGACAATGGGAATACTCACGTCTGTACCGCGACGCGCCTTCCTCACTCGTCGCCAGCGTAGCTCTGTACGGCGTCTTTGTCGCTGAATTCGCGCAACATCTACGAGAACAAATCAAATTCTTCAATGAAGACATTGATCAGACGGATCGAGTGCTGTATAGACACAATGTCGCGCATGATGGGAGCATTTCGCGGATTCTGTCGCTTTTGCAGATCAGGCAGATGGTCTGGCCTGGGATGGGGGCTGAGATCGTGTTCGAGTTGTATAGAAAGGTGGAAGAAGGGGGATTCTATGTCCGTGTCTTGTGGGGAGGACAGGTGCTGCAGAGTTCGAATCCAGAGTTAGGGGATCTAGACTTTGTGGGTTTGCAGGATTTGTTAGGTTATTTCGATTCTTTGGTGGGACAGAAAGCGGAGAGCACAGTTGAATTGTGTCGAATGGAATGATGGAAAGATGAATATAAATTACACCAGTTGTTATATTGCCGGCACGTCATAGCTCAAAAGTGGATCTCAAAGTTCCCCACCAAAATTTAAAGTTGACGATCCTTCTGTCTGTACACAACCACCTTCATTCTACTGAGACGAACAGTCTCAACCGAATCCCAATAGCCATGCCTCCAACGCGTCGAAACCTCTTCCAAAACCACCTCAGTCGCCGCCCAGCATCCAATCCTCCTCAATCCTCAACCAGTGACGCCAACAACACACCCACCGACAACAATGACAACCACCATCACCACAACAACAACAACACCACCCAAAATTCCACCCACCAGTCCAACCTCATGACTCCCGACCCCAGACCCATGCCCACATCATCATCAACAACAACAACCCTACAAACCGACAACGGCGACATAATTGCCCGCGACAAAAACGGTAAGTTCCAACTCGACATCCCAGTCCTGCCTCCCATACCACTCGACGAAGGCGACGAGGAAGGCGACGTTGAGGATGAGGACGAAGGCGCCATGGAAGGAATCGAGGAAGATGGGCGACCAAGTGGTGGGTCAGAGTCTATGGGGAAGAATAAGGATAGTGAGTCCATCCCTTCTTTCTTCAACCAGTAAAGTCGGCTTGGATGAGATGGTTGATGTTGGGAACAGAGTTGGAGGCGGATTTGGTTGAGATGATGTATCGAAATCGCAATAGGCATTTGAGTGGTGAGCCAGGTATGGTTGTTCCTACTCTATGGATCCGTTTAGAGTAATACTGATGCAATGGGTTCAAGAGCTGCTGAATGTGCTACAACAAAGCCTGCGAAGTAAAGTTGCGACGTTGGATGAAGATAATTGGATGTTTGAGACGGAGGACGATCCTCTCGTTTGAACGTTCGCGACGTAACGAATATTATTTTACGATTGTTTTATCGTATACAAGGTCTATGCTATGGCAGTGCATTCATATACATGCATACTTTGATTATCACTCGATATCATCATCAGTCCAACTCTGCACTGGCCGGAGCCGCCTCCACCTTCCTGGTCTGACGCCCCGATCCTCGCTGGTTACCACCACCACCCTGACCACCTCCGAAAAACATGCTACCCATCATATCCAACAACGGGTTTCCCTGTCTCGGGATCTTGATATTGAAATACATTTCTCCGATACTCGCCAACGCATCATCCCAGATACCAACCTCTTTTATATGAGGGGTGTAATGCCTCGTCAAATCCCGAAATAGATCTGCACTACCGCGCTGAACGGCAATCAAGAGAAGGTTGAGGAAATTTAGTAACGGTAGTGATGGATAGATTCGTACATCAGAGCTTGTGCTGCTGACTTGTTGCGAAGCGAGTGAAGGATTCGCAGCTGAGAGACGCGATGTAAAAATGAGGAGGGCTTTGTTGGCACTGCGCAGGTTTGCCGTGAGGAGGAATGGGAAGACCGCTCTGGAGGCGTAAATGGCTGCTGTATGCGCTTCGTCGCTTGTGTACCATTCGAATTCTAATTTTGCCAGTGTTTCGGCGGAGTCGGTAGTACCGAGGACGAGATGTCGCTCTGCATCGTATGGCTCGTTTTCTAGCTGTATTAGTATCTATAAACCATGGCCATTCCTATACATGAACATACCTTCAGCATAAATAGATCCAGCAGCATGGTGAAGTTCCGGATCTCCACGCTCTAACGGACCAAACTTTGAACTCCAACCGATCATCTCGCTTATATATCTCTTCCGCGATGGCTCATCCGGAGGGAACTCGCGCAGCAATTCAATCAGACGTTCTGCCAAGGTTCCGAATTAGTAAAACCCATCTAAATCCTAGCGAAACTTGGGATGAATACTCTTCCGTCCCCTCGACTCCGCATCCTCTGCACTAATCTCCCACTCCGCCTTATTATAGACCTCAACGACAAGCATAATTGCCAAGTCTCCACCACTCGCAGAGGCGCCCTGCTGCGAACCAGCCCTCAAGAGCGCTTTTGCGCCGCCTGTTAAGATTTCGGCAGCGGCATCGTAGTTGCTTTGTTTGAGGTAGCGGGCGGCGATGACGCGGAGTTGTTGATGAGCTTCGTAGTAGGAGCCTGCAGCGATTCTGAGCAGTGTTAGTTATCAAAGCCTTAATAATTTATTAGATTAAAGAGGGAAGAGTGAGGTCGTACTTTTCTTGCTGCCGAGCAATTGTCTTGTCAATCTTGGACGTCATAATTGTGAGGCCAGTATTCGGGTCTTCCAATATACTCCTGCGTCTTTGGTGGCTTTGGTTCAGTCCGTTATTTCGAGCAAATGGAAGATGATCACATAGATGGTGAGATGTTATGTTGTTAGACGATGAATCGGCGGGGCAGCAGGCCAGCTTGTTTGCACTTGCGGAGTTGCTTACGTCGGCCAATCAAGTGCGAAATGTCCACGAGCTCGGCTTCTTCCATTTCTTAATTTCTTTTAGTCTTATACCTATGATCAATGTCTAGGTTTTCTAGGTTGCAACTATTTCAGAGACAAAGACAATATCATAAGTGCTCGTGGAGATATGACCATAGAGCATCCCGTTTGCAATCTCTCAGCGCGCTTTCTATGTCCTTGTCGCAGTTGCGGTCTCGATTCGCGATGAATTCACACATTTTCGACATTCAGCCATTGCATCGCTTCTCTGGCTCCAATGCAGCAATTCGACGTCCTAGAGTGAGTATATTTCTACTGATACTTACTGACAGACATCATCTAATGGAAATTACAGGAAATCGCATACTTCTCCTACGATGACGAACACAACTTCCGCCTCGACGAGTCCTCTATGCAATACTACTACCCACCGCAACCGTCGCAATTACCTCTCGATCTAAGCGCCGGGTTTGATACGTTTCAGAAACTCAACGATGCGCCGGATGAGCATTTGGATGCCCTTTTGGATACGATTGTAGCGTTGGAACAGAGTACGGAGAAGAAATGCGAAGCGGATATTGTTACCTGGAGGGGGATGATGACGAAGGTGTGCATTCTTCAAGTGCTGGAGCTGAGAGGGTGGTTAATGATTTTGTGGACAGATCATGACGGCGCCTTTTGATATGCTGAATGGGTTTGTCTGGTTCGGAATATCGGAGAAAATATATTGACTGATTTGGCGCTAGGTTTGAGATGAATGCAACATATTTTCAGGTAAGTGATTCCTCTGCATTGGGCTCAACTGGCAGTACTGATTCGCGATCCGCGCAGGGAACGATGTAAGCGCGCCAGATATGTTGCGACATATTAAAGCCCACTTCTGACAATGCTTGCGACAGTTTCATCGAGGAGAACAATTCGTATAAAAATGCGCAGAAAGAGATTCAGAAAAATCAACGAATGCCACCTGGCATGCCTTCACAAGAAATGATGGCTTATTGGGGTAAGCAAGTTCCGCGCCATATATTCAGATACGCGTGAGTAACCTGCGACTTCCGGCAGGTTACAAATTCGAAGCAGTCTCGGTCATCCCAAACACATGGGGTGAAACAAGCCGCGAGAAGATTGAAGGGCGCATTCATGAAGTTGTGAACAACAAAGCCCAGTACTGCTCCGTTGTACGGACTGGTTTTGGAAAAGCGAAATTGGTAATTGGAGGCGAGGTGGATGCAAGTAAGTGAACCTCTCTCATTTCTTCTTTCTTATCGTGCTTACTTGTCACAGTCTGGGATTGCAAACCCGTTCGCAAAGAAGACCCAATCAATTGGGTTGAGCTGAAGACAACTGCTGAGTTAATCAACGACAAGGAGAAGCTCAAGTATGAGCGCAAACTGCTCAAATTCTGGGCGCAATCCTTTCTTCTTGGTGTCCCCAAAATTGTGGTCGGATTCCGCGACAGAGATGGGATGCTCCTACGGCTCSAGGAGCTCGAAACCCACGGATTGCCTGGCAAGGTCAAACGCGAAGGTCGAGGAAGTTGGGATGGAAACATCTGTATAAATTTTACCGCCGCCTTCCTTGAGTGTAGGTCTAACCCGAACAAGGCAATAAAGTCTTTGCTGACTAGATCAGGGCTCCAAACCGTGGTCAACACCGAGGGGACATGGCGAATTCGAAAACGGGAAAAGTCACCAGTGATTGAAGTGTTCAAGATTGAAGAAAATGGTAATGGTGACATACTATCTTCCAATTTTGTCGCATGGAGGACGAAGCAGTGATGTCAATTTTCATGCCAACAACACAATCTCAAGACCAGGAATTGCCTCCTATTGGATTGCTTTTGCAGACTAAACAGCCGAGTTCGACATCCGAAAGCCGAGTATCTGCGAACTTGACTTGGACTACGCCGGCTGTCCATCAATAGCCTCCGCAGGCGGATGGTTTCGCAGCCACTCCATATTCCGCGCTTTCTTTGCAGCTGCCTTTAGCACTCGTCGATGAGCTGCAGCGCGGATATGGATATCCCATTGCTCCTGACCCATCATCGTTTTATTGCAAACCTCACAAGTCATTTGCCTTAGAGTTTGAGCAGGTGGCACAGTCACTTTCTTATAATTGTGCTCTCTTTCGGTCAGCGTTTCTTCGGCCAATCGAGAGAGCGTCTTTGGATCTTGAAGATTTCCATTGTCCAAGAAAGCTTGCACAATACGCTCCATTGGCTCTGCCACGCAACTGTCCCAGGCTCCTGGATCAGTGGTGTCTAGGACGTACAGCTGATTAGTAGCACCTATATCTGCAAGCGCAGTCCATAGTTTCTTTCGAATCCACTGTACCTGTCTGGTAGAGTATTGCCTGGTTGAGGTTTTGACGGACTCCAGGCAAGACTCTCTCAGCGTTTCCAGTTCTTTCTCACTCAAGTTTCCATTCCGTATTGCTGTGAAGTAAGGCTCAATCTCCTTATATCCTATAGAAACCCAGATTCCCCTGGACAGATCGACCGGGTTGCCTTGAGCTTCCTGTTCGACTGCATACTCAGATAAAGATTGTGCTTCTGCAATCAGTCCTTGCTCTGCCATAGTATCCACACGGTTTTCCAATCGTCTGTAAAGGTTTTCTCTTTCCGCATGTACCCAGAATACCAGCGTCGAATAACGTAGTTGACCCGCCGTGACACCTTCTGTTTTGTCAATCGCAGCCTGCCGTTGACGCATTTGCTCTTCGTATATTTCAGATGCCGGTCTGCCAGTTTTGAGATATATCTCCAAAGACCGCCGAATCTTCCTCCCATCGTTGATGTGCCAGCGATTTGCCATTACGGGATCAACCTCGCGCAGTTTTTCCATCATAGCCTCAACAGGCGCATCGAGAATCGCCCACACTCCTGACATCCTCTCACCGCTTTCCTGTTGTTCTGCTTGCTTGTCATCTGACAAAACATCATCCGCCCCCTCCCCAACTAGAGCATCATTGAATAAAACAGACTGCACATAGTACGAAGTTCCCCCGACCAGCACCGGAATCTTCCCACGCGAATGAATATCCTGTATAACTCGCAAGCACTCCTTTCGAAACTGTCCAATCCGCCACGACTCCTCCTCTAAGCCTATAAAGTCGATGAGATGGTGCGTCACCCCTTCTCGTTCGTACATTGGGATCTTGTTGGTTATTATGGGTAGGCCGCGGTAGAGCTGCATTGCATCGCCGTTGATGACTTCGCCATTGAACCGTTTCGCGATGTCTACAGCGAGCTGCAGAAGTCAGCTTGCTATCTTTGATGAAGGATAAGTTCGGAGCAAACCTTTGATTTGCCTGTGCCAGTTGCACCGACGACTGTGATGAGCGGTTGCATGATCGCGGCTTGCGAACGAGTGAACAGGGCACGGACAATGCGCATTTCAGCGAGATCAACTTGGATCCATGATAATCCCAATTTGGTGCAGCTCGATGACTCTTTTTGGGAACGGAAGGTGTCAAATTGTAAGTTCTGATAACAGTGATGTATACTGTTTTACTGGGCAAAGCGTGCGGATATTATAGAATTTCATTACCCCACCGAATTTCAGTACTAATACCACCTCATTACATAGTCATTCTTTTGTTCTCGGGTACAATGTTGTATTTGATGTAATTAATTTCAAGACAATACATCCACACATTTTGGTCAACAACAGAAACAACCTCTCAACATAGCTATAAACTGGGTGAGAGTATATATAAGATCAAAATCTGGCATTTGGTCACCTAGCTAGGCCTCGCGCGCATATTTGTATGCTTCAACGCGTAGATTGGCAAGAGCGTAATTTCAAGGGGATGGAAAGATTGAAGGATCGGGGGATTGCTCATGTAGTATTTACATGTATATCTACATTACAAGCTATCAACGTATTATCATGCGCTCGTGAACAACGAGGATGGGGATTTCGGAATACAGACGCGGTGTTGGAGATCGAATCGAATGAGTCAATTCCGGAAATAATGGCATAAGCCTCTCGGTCCCCGCCACTTCCCGTTGCAATGATAACACATAAATATCGTCTACCCCTCGCATTCCTTCTGATTATATTCATCTCGAATTATAGCGATTACTATCACCTTTAGATTAGGAAGAGAAACGGGAATCAAAATGGCACCTTCAATCAACGTGCAGAATCTCAGCTACAAATTTCAAGATGGATCCGACGGCCTGAAGGATGTAGGGCTCAGTCTTCCTTCAGGAAGCAGGACATTACTCATTGGAGGTATGACTCCCACTCTAGCATCCTGAAGTATCGATCAATTGATAGAAAAAGCAAACGGTGCCGGCAAAACAACCCTCCTGCGTCTCCTATCCGGCAAAAAACTAGCTCCCACCAACACAATCTCAATCGGAGGCAAAGACCCTTTCAAAGACAATATGGAAGGCGTCACCTATCTCGGCGTCGAATGGGTGCTCAATAGTATCGTGCGTACGGATATCGATGTCCCCACGCTTCTCGCCTCTGTAGGCGGAAATGCTTTCCCAGAACGTCGCGATGAGTTAATCGATATTCTCGACATCGATCTCAACTGGCGCATGCACGCCGTCTCAGATGGCGAACGACGTCGCGTGCAATTGGCCATGGGTCTGTTGCGGCCGTGGCAGATCTTGCTTCTCGATGAGATTACAGTTGATCTTGATTTGCTGTCTCGTAGTAACTTCCTTTCGTTCCTGAAACGGGAGACTGAGACGAGAGAGTGCACTATCGTCTATGCCACGCACATTCTGGATAATTTAGCGTCGTGGCCCACGCATCTCGTGCATATGCATTTGGGCCAGGTGAAGCAATGGGGTCCCATGGAAAGTTTCAATGAGACGATCCCCAATCGATCAGCTGAGAACAGTCTATTGGGAGATTTGGTGATGCATTGGCTCAGGCAAGACCTACAGGTTCGTGGGCCTCGGAATCCTCATTCCGGACAGGGAAGGACTTACTCTAGTGCGGAGGGACTTGGGGGTTATGGCTTGGAGAAAAGACCTCCGAAGGAATAAGTATATTTTCTGGCAATGTCCTGTTTCAACACTTTCAACCTATGATGGCGGCGGCGGCGACGATATTATGATAATGTTTCAACTACTTGCATTGGAGGAGTACGGCGGTAAAATCTTGCATAACCTGGCCATATTCAACACGCCGGGAGGCTTCAACGCCATGTCATACTTTGGGGCATTGTTGTGCATTTGCTGGTGGTCTTATCTTTCCTTTTATTACAGATATCTATGGATCAAGTAGGAGGAAGACGACTACTTGGAAGCTTTCGTGTATCACTTTCTATGTGAAATCTAATGCAATGATCTATACTACATCAGCGATTTTATATATGCGCATAGACGAGTCCTCGCTTGCGACAGCAAGAAGCACATTTCCTTCCTTGGAGGCTGATGATTGTCCAGGCCGCCATGTGAGTTGCGTTATTGACTTGGATGGTGAAGAAGATACATCCAGAGCGGCCAGTTCCTGAGCTTCAAGATTGTCGACCGCTATTCTGTGCACTGATATCTGTCCGGTTTCCTCGCCGATGGCCAGTAAAAGACCGTCAGAAAGAGTCTCCGAATGAAACGAGACGGCAGTAACGGCAGACTTGAGTGTGATGGTCGATACGCATTCAAAGTTTTCTGATGAAGATGTCTCGCGCCATACTTTCACGCACTTGTCACGACCTGCAGTCACAAATACTGATTGTTGTCCCGTGGATGGAGCCCATGCCGCGTCAAGTATCATACGCGAATGAGCTTTAGGATTCGATTTGAAAAGCAAATAGGTAGAAGGATCCTGTTCGTCTCGCTTGAAAATCGCCCATTGGCGATCACGTCCCACACTCAGCAAGTATTTGTCAGAAGGCGAAAAGCAAAGTGATGTTATAGTTAATGAATGGGCGGTTAGAGAAGGTTTGATTTCACGCCAATTTCTCGTATCGTACAGTCGAGTGACGGCGTGGTCGATAGAACTAGCTTTGCATGCTGTAGCGATCAGAGAACGGTCGTGGCTAACTGCAACTGCTGATATTTCGTAGCCATGGCCGTATAGCTTCTCATGCTCTGGCCACAATGTGTGCCGAGACAAATGGTCTTCTAAGGGAGGCTGATGCATTGGTAGGGATACCGGCGCCGTCGGTTGTTCTGCTTGATCGTTTCTTTGGCCGCCAAGTTGATCGTCTGCTATTGTGATGTCCTCCCCAACAGCCTTATTTGAGAGACCAAGAACAGGGATGTTGGCTGCCTCTGGCAATTCCTCTTCATCCTGCACTATACCGCTGAGACTTCCCAGTAATTGAGCAATCTGTTTAGGCTCATTAAACACACGAAGAAGTTTCTCATCAGCACCAGACACAAATTTAGCTGGGCCTAGCGTATCTATGCAGTTGAGATCATATCCATGGATTTGCGGTCGCGAAAATTCATGCCATGACGATTCTCCATCCCGCAGCCATTCTGCGTACAGTCGACTGGTCTGGTCAGAACTTGTAGATAGAAGATATGCGCCCCGTGCATCCCATTGAATATCGTTCACGGAACGGACATGTCCACTAACGCCCAGTCGTTGCTGCCATACATCCGACTCTTCATCATGTGCCCATACTCTCCAGCTACCCGTTCGAGTCAAACTCACGACTTCGTTGCCCTCGGGGGACCAGAGTCCAATCCAGAAACCGCCTGTGCTACCAGTGGCCGTAGTCGAACCTTTTGTCACACTAAACTCTCCCATTCGCTCCATTGTGACCCATACGCCCGTTGTAGGATCTTGCTCCCATATCGTCAAAGAATTATCCGCGGACGCGGATAGAAGCTGTGCCTTTTCGGTCGAAGGGCTCCAATTCACAGTGTATATCCAATCTTCGTGACCGAGCAACAACGCCTCAAAGGTTATGGAATAAGTCACACCAGAAGCGGTAAAAGTGTGTGCCTTATTAGATAGCGTAGGCTCATCGCCTCCAAGGATCATTTCGTCATCCTCCTTTGGAAGCGCAGGCGCTATTTCACCTCGGTGCACTTTCCATAGACGAATGTACTTATCCTGACTAGCCGATGCAAGGATGTATTCATTGTCGAACTTTCTAAAAGTAAGAGACCTCACCCAGGCTTCGTGACCGGACAATTTGGCATTCCACGTGAACTCCGTTTCTGAAGCAGTGGTATCTTGCGCCGAAAACACATGTACATGGTTGGTTGTGCCTCCCACAGCCATGACCATAGGTTTCTTCGCATCTGCAGCGTCCAGCACTTGTATTGCCATGGTCAATGGGAAGAACCTAGGTTTCATGTATATAGTCTGAACTAGTTGTCCAGACAATTTGTCATGCTGAATATCGAGTCTCCAAACCCTGACTGTCCCGTCAGCAGCTCCTGATGCGAATACATTCGAGGCATTATCGACGGCGATTGTATTGACGGTTCCCGTATGGCCTGTAAGTTCACAAACGCATGTATATGATGATGATTGTTCGATCGACTTCCAGACTCGGATTGAGTGGTCCACGGACCCAGTAATGAGCAAGCTGCTCTTCGACTCGGTGTAGGCGACGAAGCGGACGGCGCTGACTTTGTCGCGATGGCCAACGAGCAACGCATGGACACCTTGTTGGGACTGGACAGGTCAGTTTTGACAAAGACCCTGATTGGAAGATATTCAAAAGAAATATTTACCTTTGGCGCCCAGAGAGCTACATTGTTGTCCGCGCCGTATGCGAGCACACCTGAGCGAACATCCCAATCGGCGGCACCAGGATGGCGGTTGCCGCCGACGCTGATATATTCTGTTTCCACACGAACCATTGAGTAAATCACATTCCTCAATTAATTTGCGTGTTCAGTAAGCGAGAGACTGGAGCCTCCGGTAAGCTGTGATTGTTGAGAAAAGCGAAGACGTGGGATGACGATGAGAGACTACGAAATTTTAAGCTTATCGATAAGCCTTGGAGTGGTTCCCCTCCGCAACATTTTCAGAGCATCAACTCCTCTTTATACCACATTTTTAGACAGTCACCTCAACTAATAGCAGATATGGCCTCTACTGCAGGGACCGAAAAGGTCTTTCAACCGAATGAGACAATTCCTATATCTGTAGAGTTTACGTGAGTCAACTCAACTAGCATCAAATCCAGTCTAGATCGACTAATTCGCGCATCTAGCGGTGGCCTGGAAATGCTCTTTGCCAATGAACGAAAACATAGCCTAGCAATTCCTGCGAAGACGAGTGACGGGAAAAAGCCGACGATCGCGTGGCTCATTCAGTACCTTGTTGAGAATCTGATGCAAGACACTAGAAAAGAACTGTTCATTCTTGATGATTATGTGTAAGTCTGTCTGACGGCTTATGACAACTTAACTGAGACGAAGACTAGGCGCCCTGGTATTCTGGTTCTTATAAACGATGCAGATTGGGAGCTGGAAGGAGAAGAGGCATATGAAATACAGCCTAGAGATAATATATTATTTGTCTCCACGCTACATGGAGGATAGGTGTTGTCATTAGAAATGATGATATTGTCAATAAAGGTTCTATCTTGTTTTCATCAAGCAGAAAAGCCGAAAGTGCTACGCTGAGGGATTGAATGGACATGAAGGAATGTGAATAATAATGATCGGTCGTAACAACGTCTATACAACGTCCTCTACATGTTGCTGAGTAAGCCTCTCAGGCTCATGCGGTGTTCTGAATCCACTCTGAGGTGTCGATAAACCTGTAACAGGGCTTCCCAAGCCCGCCTTCGGTGTTGTATAGCCACTAGGAGGTACAGGTATCTTTATGTCCTCCGGAGACGCAGGAACTATCTCCTCTGGCAGGTTCGGGATGGGTATTCTTCGAGCTTCATTTTGGTAGCTGGCGGGAATCACCTGAGAAGGATTAGCAGTAACACGCAAAGGAAGTGGGTGATTCAGAACATACTTCAATGATTTCATTGCGAGGAAACGATAGGAACGGAATGTCTGCGGCATTACAAGCCATCAAGTACCCATACAAAACCCTCAATACACTCTCATGAGCTATAATGAGTAGGTCATTCTGCTCGCGCTCTAACTCTAGAATTATCGGCTCTAGCCGCACAGCTAAATCGTGATATGACTGCAGACAATATCTGTTAGTTTCGATCCGAACTGTCCATATGAGTACATACCTCTGCACGAGGGTAGCGATGATGATATGGATCAATTTCGTGCTTCGCTACTTCGTCCGGATATTCCTGTCTGATCTGCTGTTCGGTCATTTTCTCGCAAACACCGGGATTCAGTTGGCTCAATTGCGACCTTTGGCGAATCGCATAGCCCTTTTCGTGGAGCCATTTTGCAGTCTCGACCGTTCTGAGCCGTGTTGATGTCCACACCGTCAAAGGTTTCAACGCAGCATCCGATTCTCCTTGATCTTTCATGGCCTGTAGTTCCGACTCTCTGTGTTGGAGTATTGTCTCGGTCATTTTCTTCGCGTAATCTTGGCCCTGCTCGGATAAAGAGGAGTCTGCTTTGTAGGAATTGGCATCAAGTGAAATACCGGCCTATTGAGATCAGTATATCAGCCGCATCAGCCTGAGGGTAGACATACTCTGACGAAATATGTAACTCTGGATTTGATGTGCAAGTTTAGAAGATAGAAAACAATTCGGTTCGAGAGGTAGCCGAAGCTGCAATTATTTACAATAAGGCGTTCTCCGGCGTTGATCATCTTATTCATTAGCGTACTGTACACGCTTTTGGACAAGGCTTCTTACCTTGATGTAGTTGAGATCTTTCTCTTCCATTGTCTCAACATGCGGAATTCTTGCTGAAATACGGCCGAGGTAGTGCTTGACCGCGTCATTTGCGTCCCATCCTACATACTAGGATATTTTAGCACCGTCTTGTTGACAAAGGTAGAGTAGCTTACATCGGGTGATCCTATCTTGACTCGTCGAACATTTTCTTCTATTATCTTTGGGTCGTCGCACATGGATTCTATGAAGAGTGTCTACACTTGATTAGTAAAAAATAGTCAACGAGAACGCAAGCAGCATACCTCTATGTTCTGTTTTGCAAACTCCTTGGCGAGAGAGCGGCGTCCTGCGGCGATGGGGTTCACAGCGTCATAAATCGCTATTTGACCATTTTCTTCGCTCAAAAAATGTGCAATATCGTCGCGGCACTTTTTCACAATTTTTTGTCGTAAAAGCACAGATGACGCGGAGGCTATCAACGAGGTCAATTCATTTGTTTCCCTCTTTCAGACAGACAAGGACGACTAACCGTTGACAAAGAAATAATCATCGGGCATATCTTGTCCTGGACCGATGGTGGCACGTCTATAGTCGCCTAGATGAAAGATCCGAGTCTTGACTCCAAGCCTGTAGACGTAAGCGTATGATATTAAAAGCGATGCCCAAGGCAAAAACTAACCAGCGCAGATAGCGTGCTAGCGCTACGGAAATATGCCTTGAGGGAAGTCAGTGGCTCTGTACCCGTTCAGATAGCTTGTTGTATAGAACGTACGTCTTTCCTCTAGCTGGCAATCCTACTGTGATGATGACAATGCGACCTGAGTGGAACAGTCTTCCAGATTCTGTACTGTACAACTGGGCAGGCGCCAGCTCCACCTTCTCCGGTAGATCGTGGATAGCATCTACAAAAGTACTTGACTTTCTCCGGAATCGCGGAGAACTTGCGACGACGTCGGCAGTTCTGTCTATAGTCAGGTGTCTAATACTTGCTTTTGTAGATTAGGCGGATTGACATACAGTAAGGTATCCATGGTCGGCTCTTGGCAATGCTCGACCAGCACCTAAGTTCTCCGACCAGAGGGCAGACGAGAGGAGTCTCTATATATAACGAATTCTGCCAATGTCGAGGCCGTGGGGGCACGGAGTCAATACAATGAATGCTTAATCGAGATAAGCGACGTCAGAAGCCGGGATGAAGTGGCAGGGCCCGGAAGATATTTAAGCAACGAGATGGCCGTCAGAGCAATTTCGCAAAAGTCACAAAGGAAGCACTTGCTGGGAAGGGGCGAAGAATGGAATGAGCTATATAAGTAGGCAAATAATAGAAGAGCGCGATTTAAAGAAAAGAGGCAGTTGATGCAGCAGATGAATGGGCAAGACCAAAGAGGTTAGGCTGGGCTGGCACAGTGCAAACAGTGCAAAACACCGACAAAAGCCTTGGAAAAACATCCGCAGCGACCAAATTTCATCAGCCGAAAGAGCTACGAACTACCTTTTCTCCAACAAAATCATCATCCCTCTTGCTTGGATTCGTGTCGGGGCGTGCCAATTAGCGACGCGCAGTATCTTGTCGCTTCCCTTCTCTGTCTCATCAAAATCACGACAATTCCTTTCATTTTGCTCCAGGTCATAGTCACGAGTCTTTTCCCTCCCATCCATCATCTCCTCGGACCGATCGTGCATCCATCATCATCTCGAAATATACAATAAAATATTAATACGAACAGTGTATCTGCAATATGGCCGACTTGACTTCATCGCTGTCATTCTTGACAGACAACTCTATCGCTGCCGCGCTCAAAGATGTATACGGATCGTTCTCCGAGCGAAGAGCGGCGCTGGGCTTGCCCAACCCCGGCACAGTCGATAACATCGCCAGAGAAGTGCAGAAGGAAGTGTTGCTATCCAACTTTATGTTCACAGGTCTTCGCGCAGATCTGACCAAGGTTTTTGGCATGGCTCCTCTGTTCCGGATGTCGCACGCTTTTGCTATGGGTTCAGCAGGCAACATGCCTCCATATAACTTTAGCGCCATGTATGGAACGCCAAAGGTATACTCAGTCCCCATCTGTTTTATGGTGTAGTGCTCATACTTTCTCAGGTATTTATGCAAGGAAACTTAGGCAGCGATGGCGGTCTCAGCGCTGTTGGCAACTATCGCTGGAACGAGAAATTCGTGACGAAAACGAACGCTCAGATCATGTCTGGCGGCGCACAAGGCATCCTACAGATCGATAACGACTACACTGGTGACGATTTCTCCTTCTCTCTCAAGTCTTTCAACCCGTCTATCTTTGAAGGTGGTTTGACCGGTATCTACGTCGGAAGCTACCTTCAGTCGGTCACCCCCGGTCTTGCTCTCGGATTCGAAGCCATCTGGCAACGTCAGGCTATCACTTCTCGCCCCGAATCGACTCTTTCATACTGCGCAAAATACCGTGGTGCTGACTGGATTGCTAGCGCTCAGCTCCAGGCTCAGGGCGCCATTGCGGCCTCTTACTGGAAGAAGCTCTCCGACAAGGTGGAGGCTGGTGTTGACATGAACCTTCAATTCGCTCCCAGTGCTGCTGCTATGATGATGGGAGGACCCAGCCGAGAGGGCACAGCAACCGTTGGTGCCAAGTATGATTTCCGTGCCTCTACTTTCCGTGCCCAGGTCGACAGTGCCGGTAAGGTCAGCTGTCTTTTGGAGAAGCGGATAGCTATGCCTATCTCTTTGACCTTTGCTGGAGAGATTGACCACGTTAAGGTAATTTCCAAGACCCTTCAATTTTTTGAAACTGTCTAACAGATTTATAGCAACAAGCCAAAGTCGGTCTTGCCGTTTCCCTCGAGATTGCTGGTGAGGAACTCATGGAGCAGCAAGAAAAGGCTGAAGCCCTCGGATCTATCCCTCCTCCTTTCTAAACCTTTGAGACTATTCTCCAGTCTCGGCTGCTGTTGACTCCCTCCCACGACGACAGTATACGAACTGATTAATACCGACTTTCGACCATTGTCTTACTAGTTCTTCACTCTTGTCCACACTTGACAGAAAAAAAGACCCCTGCATTGCGGCTGGTTCCACATTGACACGAGGAGTAGTGCAGTATTTGACCATCCGTGTATAGAAGTGATTTCTGATTTGGTTAGTTTTTGTGATTTCTTCTATCTGGCTCTCTTTCCGAAAGGTAAGGGCTTTTGTTTTCTTTTCTTTTAATGTGGCTCTCCCCGATTTCAGGTTAGGGAGATGTTTCTTTTTATCTTGTCTGCATAGAGAGGAGCAACTGTAAAATAGCAACAAACAATGATAATATCCATGTCTTGACTTTGGCATAGTACATCGATCTGTCGATCTTAAACTTAGTGTATCACCTTCTGAGTAACAGTCTGATTCAACGAGCTAACTCAGATCTTCCATCGCCCAACCATCGAACAAAAGAACAGAATGAAACAATAGCCTAAACCCTCAGCCACTCGACAAATCACACACTGCCACCACATAGTTGCATACGTATCACATAGTTGCATTCGTATGTAGGACTTTACAAAAGCCTTAACTCATTCATTCGTTCATTAATCGAAAGAAACGACAAACTCGTCCAAACACAACGCGATAATCTTGCATCTTGCATACATACATTCTCTGTACATACATGGTGTTGAGATCCCATCAGACTCTGCAGGCTGTACTCAACGTGTCGGGTCAGGGCGCGTTTCACACCTGTCGTACGTAGGCAGGTTCACCGGAGACTCAATTAGATCTCTAGACAAGGTAGGTTTGCATGCATATCA